GGAGGAGAGCCTCGCATGTAACCAGTAGCGCCGGGCGCTGCGCTGCAGGGCAGCAGCTTTTACGGTCTTTGGAGCCACAAGCTGTCAGACTCCCGCTTCCCCACCGGAGAAGAGCCTTCCAGTGCCCGGTCCCGGCGCCTCCGTGTGTCTGTCGGGAGGGAAAGTGCTGGCCGAACCGTCAGAACCGCTTTCTGTCTGGTTTCATAGGTACCAGGCTGTCCCTTTTCCGTCAGCATCACCCATAACCTAATCTGAACGTTCCAGATACGGATAAATCTGACTACATTACAGTGAAGCACCATTCATTAAAAGATATAAGTAAATTAAAGTCAGGCCATTACCTGTGGTGAAGACAGATATGTGACTAATAAAGGATTCATCGTCAGAATATACGAATCACCCCCAGATCAATGTTGTGAAAGACAGAATAGCCCCATTAAAAATGACAGGAAGGCAGAATCAGGCATTTCAGAGCAGGAAAGACACAAGTGATCCATGAACACATGAAAGATGCTAAACCTGTTTAATGATCAGAAGAAGAAGGAAGACCACCCATGGTCCCTGTTCGCTGGCAGGAATGAAGGTTCTGACCGCGCCGCGTTGGTGAGGATGCCGCTTGGCGTGGAGGGCAGTTTGGCCCGGCTGGTCGGTCGGCCGTGCACACCTGCAGCTCCCGCGCTCTGGACGCCGAGGCCATGGCCACGGCCGGCCCTGCTCGCTGCGAAGGGCGAGATGGGAGAGTCTGGGCTTTGTGACCACAGCAGGTCTCGTCGCCCAGGTGTCCCGTTTCGTTTGTTTGTTGCTCCCCTTAAAACCGAGAGGAGTCTTCGCGCAGGGCCGGGCAGGAACTGGCGCCGCTGGGTTGGACCCACAGCTTCTTGCTGGGCCCTGACCCCCGGTCTTGAGAATGCGTCCTGGGGCCACTGGATGCGGCCCAGCACAGAAGCCAGGATGTTCCGACTGTTCGTGAGAGCGAAGCTGGAGACAGTGCGATCAGAGATGGGAGTGCGTCGTGGAGTGTTCCACGCGGTGAGAGGCATGAGTGTGCCCATGCACACGAGAGATGGGTAGGGGTGGCTGAGGCAGGCGCACGCGGGGGGGCTGTGGCGGGTGGTCTGCTCTGGGGTTACGGTTTGGTTGTCTTCTTACTTTGCATGTAGAGTGCACATGACCTTTGGTATGTGTCAGCTAGTACATTTTTTCGAAAGGCAAGCGAGGCTACCAGCAAGGGAGGTCTTTAACCCACCTCCTGTTCCCCCTGGTAGGACTCCTGTCCGAGAACTATGCCCAGGTGACGGCCAGAGGTGGGGGGCAGGTACCTGTGTGGTGACCCCAGCCCCGCCCTCACGGAGCCGCGATGAGGACGCCCAGCATGGAGCCTTTGCTCTGAGCAGCCGCAAGATGCTGACAGACACCGCGTGCACACCGCCCCTTTCAGTGCGTGGCCTGGGCACCTGTCAGGACCCGCGTGACCACGGATGTAAGGGTTTATCTCTGGACTCAGTTCTGGTTCGTTGGTCTGTGTCTCTCCTCAGGCCAGCACCCTGCGACCCCAATGGAGCTGCAGAGAGTTTGGAAGCCAGGAGGTGTGAGTCCTCCAACTTTGTACCTGTTCAAGGTTGTTTGGTCCGTCCTGGGTCCCTTGTATTTCCATGTGAGTTTTAGGTGCAGCTTATGAATTTCTGCAAAGCAGCCGAGGCTTTTCGTAGGGATGAGCGACCCGGTAGGCGGGCCTGCACAGTGTTGCGTCCCAGCAGCGTCAGGCTTCTGGGCCATGAACGCTCTCCTCCAGCATCAATAAGCACAGCTTCCCCTCCTTGGTTACGTTTATTCCCGACACTCCCTTCTCTTTGATGCTGTTTTAAGTGGGTGGTTTCCTGACTTCAGGTTTGGGTTATTATTGCTGGTGTGTACAAATGCAGTTGATTTGTATGTATTGATCTTGTATCCTGCAGCTTTGCTGTTGGTGCAACTCGTTTTTGGTTTATTCCTTAGTATGTTCTATATTCTGTCCTCTGAGAATAGAAATAGTTTTACGTCTTACTTTCCAACCTGGATGCCTTTTATTTCTTTTTCTTGCCTAATTGCGGACAAGGGGCATTGGGGGTGGGGGGGTTCTGCTTTGTTGTTTTGAATCCTCACATGAGGCTATTTTTTTCCATTGCTTTTCACAGAGAGTGGAAGGGAGGGAGGGAGGGAGAGAGAGAGACATTGATGTGAGAGTAGCCTCCCAAATGCACCCCAGTCGGGGACAGGAAGTAAACCTGCAGCCCAGGTCCATGCCCTTGACCAGGTATCAAACCTGAGACCCTTGGATGCTCGGGCTGACACTCTAACACTGAGCACACCTCCCTCCCCACAAGGCCAGAGGGGCATTTGAGGAAGGCTTTGAGCCATCGAGAGGAGGAGACAGCCTGGTCCTTGTCAGGCTTCCCGGCCCCGGGGACCGGAGGGCGCGGCTCTGTCCAGGGCTGTGGTCAGCAGAGGCTCCACACAGCGCAGCTCGGAGGCCTGCGGCACTGGGACTGGCCATTGTGCTGTCCCCAAGGACCTGCCTCAGGGAAGGGACCGCGATGGCCCTTTACCCCTCGCAGAGCAGGTGCTGGTGTGGGATCAATTCATCTGAGACCTCACGTGTCGGGCGTGTGCAGTTTCCGTTTCAGAGTCTGACGTTTCATGTGCATCCTCTGGCTTCTCTTCAGATCGCATAGATCCCTCGCCTTTTAAAGTGTGTGACGCTCTAAGTAAATACCACACACGAGCTGAGCCAGGCGCAGTGGTTTCTCGTGGGTGTGCAGTTGTGCGCCCCCACCGTCCAGCTGCAGACTTCTGTCTCCCCAGCTGGAAGCCGTGCCCAGCAGGAGGTGCCCCACCCCCGCCCGGCCACCAGGACCCTGCCCGGTATCTCCGCCCGCCCCTTCTGGACGTCTCCGGGTAGACCGCCTCCCGCCCCGTGGACAGTGCGTAGGGAGGCTGGTGTTTCTTGTTCCTGCTGCTCAAGCCCTCGGCGTAGCTCAGGAGTGGGCAGCGCGTGGGGCAGGCTGCGGGGCCGCTGGGAGGGGCCGCGAGAGGCCTCTGAGGGGCGCCCCCCCACCCACACTCCTGCGGGCTGTCCTCGCCCAGGGCAGGGCGGCGAGCGTCCACCGGGGCTGGGTGCCTTCTGCCTCTGCTCTGTAGGCACAGGCTCCCGAGCTGTGCTCTGTACTAATGTGCACGGAGCCGGGCGTTTAGGGAAACGGCCGATGGCTGGTGAGTGAGCGTCTCTCACACTGGAAACAGGAGCTCGGCCGTAGAAGCAGCCAGTTCGCATGGAGCACTGGGTCCTGAGCACAGCTCACCAAGCCCGCAGCGAGGCCCTCAGGGCGAGGAGCTCTCAGGTCCGGCCAAGGGTGGAGTGGCTCAGCCTCACCTCGTTCTGTGTTCGTGTGTGTGGAGTACCTGCTGCCCATCAGGCTCTGTCCTAGGGACCTGGGGCTTGTCAGTCAGCCACACAGATCAACCCCCGTCGTCGGGAGCTTGGTCTGTCGGAGAGACAGCGAACACTACGCCTGCGGGCCTGGACTGCGGCAGTGCCATGGGAAAGGCGGGCAGGGCAGGGGGTCCGGCCGAACTGGGCTCCTTGGGAAGGCGGGGGTGCATCCCCAGAAGGAGGGGCACCTGGAGCATCTGTAGACGCAGGTGCCCGGCCTGGAGAGGGCCAAGGGCAGGCCGGCTCCCGGTGCACCCTTTTCTCGAGAGCAAGGCGAGCAGGTGCCGTCCCGCAGTGAATGGGTTTGTGGGCAACGACTTGCTGGCCTGTGAGGTCATTTTAAAAACATTTTTGGTTTCACAGGTCGACTTGACAGGAGGCTCCACACTGCACAGTAGGGCTGTTTCACGAAAACTGACCCGTGTGGCGGAGCCCAGCTCGCTGGCTTGAGCTCCCATATCCCGAGTGGGGCACGTCCCTCCTTCCAGCCTCAGAAAGAGGCCGAGGCCGGGAGAGAGGGGCCCGCCGGCCCCACTCGAACCCAGGCTCAGCACACTTCCAGGTCCAGCAGCGCCCGGCGCATGGCCACCCAGCACTGGCCTGAGAGGAGGGCGGGTGGGACTGGCCCACGGGCCTCAAGAGCAGGGAGAAGGTTAAGCAGCAGCAGTGGACGGACGGGCGGAGCAAGAGCCTGGTGTGGCTGGAGAGTCCTGGTGAGCTCGGAAGCCACTTCCTCCGCAGGTGGTGGGCCAGGCGGGCACCTGTGGCTCGAGTCTGGGAGGTGCTTACCTGTCCCATGATGGCAACTTGAGGTGGGACCAGCCCTCTGCTCACTGGTCACTGTGGTAGGAGAGCCTGCATGTGGGCACAGGAGACCCGTCCAGTCCCGTGTCCCCTCCGCCATCTGTCTCGCCATTAAGGTGCCTGCAAGTCCACAGTGGCCTCTCTGTGGGTGCAGTGCGGGGACGGGCGGCTCCGCGGGCGCAGTGCGGGGACCGACGGCTTTGCGGGCAGAGTGGGGACCCATAGCTGCGGAGTTGGTGAAGTGATGGGGCCGGCAGGAGGCAAGGCCAGGCCTGTGGTGCCCAGGCTCGGGTACCTGGGGGGCCCTTGCGCGGGGTGGCACCGCGTGCACTTCAGCAGGAGTCTGCAGTATGCTTGGCTGCAGGCCCTCACAGCACCTCCACCCGGTCGGCCAGCAGGTGGCCTCCACAGCAAGGCCGGCTGGGAAGCAACACTGGCGGAAGGGCCATGGTTTCAGCCAGAGCATTGGAATGGGGCCTCGGATGGGAGCTTACGGCCCAGCTAGGTGTTCTCTGTGGTTTAAAGAACCTTCAAGATACAGTCCGTGCCGTCAGGGCTGTGTGCAGCGGCGTGAGCTTGCATGGCACAGCGAGCAGGCGCTCCCCCCCCCCCCGCCCCCCCCCCCCCCCAGCACCCAACCGCGCTCAGGCTGACAGGCGTCCAGACGTCTGCTGTCTCCTTGCTGGGCCATGGGCAGCACTTGACTCATTTCTTGTTGTTTTCCCAGCAGAGTGTCTCTGTCTCACAATGGAGCCAAGTAAAAAGATGGACCCTTCCGGCTCGCTGCCCAACCCGTCGCTCAAGCTGCACCCGGACCGCGCGGGCGCCCCCGTGCTCGTCCCCGAGCAAGGAGGGTACAAGGAGAAGTTCGTGAAGACCGTGGAGGACAAGTACAAGTGCGAGAAGTGCCAGCTGGTGCTGTGCAACCCCAAGCAGACCGAGTGTGGGCACCGCTTCTGTGACAGCTGCATGGCCACCGTGCTGGGGTAGGCGCCGGGCCACTGCGGGCGCGTCTTTCTCCTGCTTCTCTATAAAGCAAGCTCCGAAGGGGACCCGCAGAGATGGGCCATGTAGGGAACCTGGTGGGAGCGCACCTGAGCGCAGGGGCCTCAGTGACTGAGGCCTGGACCGCCAGCCCCATCCCGCAGACGTCTGTCTCCTCCCTGAAGCGTCTGTAAAGTCTCCTGCCACCTTCTCAGTGGCCCTGGCCCCTGTCCCTGGCGTCCCCTGTCCGTGGTGTCCCCCGACTGTGTTGCTGAGTTTGCTGAGGAGCTCACAGTTCCGTGGAGGAGACGCCAGCAGCCAGGGACAGGGGAGTCCTTATGGTGTGTGCTCTGTGTGCGGGAGAGGACGGGCAGCAGGGAGGCCTGGGCGCCCTGACCGAGGAGGCACCCAGTGTGTGCGTGGCGGAGCAGGTGTGCGCAGAGCATGCACTGACCTGGGAGCCCTGGTCCGCCGAGTCCCGCTGCCATGGCAGAGTCCAGGGTCCCAGCGGTCCCAGCGGAAATGACATGGGTGAGCGAGTGTCTTCTCCACCATGTGTGGGCACAGTGTGGGCACACGCTGCCCGCGGCAGGGCCCAGGGCCGGGGAAGGTGCCCTCTTCTTCCTGACTCAGCCCCGAGCGCAGCGGCGGCCTCCCTCCTGGGGTCCTGCCCCAGGCCCCTGACGGACCTCCTGTGGGTGGGTGGCTCGCGGCTGTGAAGGCTCCATGGGGGACGAGCGCGTGGAGAAAGTGTGGCCCCGAGACCGGGCACTCCCACGGAGGAGCCCCACGCACGGCTGGTTTTGGTTTCTGAAATAAAATCTCACTTTTAACTGAACGGGGCTTTCCAGAGGGGACTGACCTCGCTGTTCTGCTCACTTCCTTTGAAGTTACCCTTCCCCAGCCTGCCCTCTCCCTGCGGCCCCACTTCCACCACCAGGCGACCCCACAGCGCTGGTGGCCCTCAAGTGACAGGACCGCGGCCAGAGGCGGGCTCCGCTCTGACGTGTTTGTCTCCTTCCCTCAGCTCCGCCAGCCCGAAATGCACTGCGTGTCAGGAGAGCATCGTCAAAGATAAGGTATCGCCGGGTTCTTTGTCAGTTTTTGTCCTGTGTTGGGAGCGGGGTGGTTTGCGTGCGGCGCTCGGTCCGTTCTGCCTTGTGACCGCTGGCTCCCGGCCCCCACGCGGCATCCTGAGATTTCAGCCCCTTCCCCGCCCACGGGCCTGTGCGCGGGGCTCATAGGTGTCACGGGGGCCGCCTGTCAGACACCAGAGGCGCCAGCTCACCCACGGGCTTCCCCCGGGCCCGGCCCCTCCCGGTGTCTCTGTGGCCCTCCCTGTGCTGCCACACTCCGCCAGGCACACTTGTAGTTTGAAATGACTCATTGAAGTATTTAAAATATCAATAAAAATCCGTGGTTCCGATGTTTTGATTAATGAACCTAATAGTTTCTTAAATGCAGGCCATGACATTGTGGCTGCAGCCCGGCAGGCTGGCCTCTGTCTGCAGCGAGGAGCAGCGGCTGCGGGCCCTGGCAGGTGCTCCGGCTGGGCAGGGCGGCTGGGGACCCGCACGGCAGTTTAGAGATGGAATTAGCCAAGTGTCCATCTGCCTTTTCTTTCTTTTTTCCTTTTCTTTTTCTTTAAATCTTTATTGTTGAGCGTATTACAGATGTCCCCCTCCCCCCACTGCCCCCTCTCCCTGGTTCCCGCCCCCCTTCCCCACCCTATTGTCTGTGTCCTTAGGGAATGCATGTGCATATAGGATCTTTGGTTAGTCTCTTCCCTCCCTCCCCCCTTCCCTCTGAGACCCGTCAGTCTGCCCCATGCTTCCAGGCCTCAGTTCTCTTTTATTCACCAGTTTATTTCATTCGTTGGAGTCCTTGTTTGCTTATTTTGGTTTTTAGGTTCACTTGTTGATAGATATGTATTTATTGCCATTTTATTGTCCATATTTTTCATCTCTTCTTCCTCTTCCTCTTCTTCTTCCTCTTCTTAAAGAATACCTTTCAGCATTTCATATAATACTGGTTTGGTGGTGATGAACTCCTTTAGCTTGTTCTTCTCTGTGAAGCTCTTTATCTGACCTTCAATTCTGAATGATAGCTTTGCTGGGTAGAGCAATATTGGTTGTAGGTTCTTGCTATTCATCACTTTGAATATTTCTTGCCACTCCCTTCTGGCCTGCATGGTTTCTGTTGAGAAATCAGCTGACAGTCGTATGGGTACTCCCTTGTAGGTAACTAACTGCTTTTCTCTTCCTGCCTTTAAGATTCTCTCTTTGTCTTTAACCCTTGGCATTTTGGTTATTTCTTCTTTCCTTCTCTAGTTGTAGGACTTCCATTCAGCCAGCTTTCAGGCGGTTCTGAATGATGGTTGTTCTGTATTTTAGCTGTAATTTTGATGTGGTTGTGGGAGGTGGTGAGTACTGGCATTTACCTACACCCCCATCTTGATTCTCCTACCTTTTCTTTCTAAGCCTTTACCTATTTCTAAAGACTTTGGTTGGTAACAGGGAAGGGAATGTTTCTAAGAAAAACAAATCACCCTGTTCTCCTTACCTTAACATTGTAGCTAACCTTGTTAACACACATCTAACCTACGTAATGGGAAGAAGTCGGAACAACAAACAATGGACTGAGAGGGCCTCTTAGTCTCTCATTTCATTATTCAGTATTATTCCTTTTTTTTTTTTTTCAATCCTCACCCAAGGATTATTTTTCCATGGAGGGAGGGAGAGAGAAACATTGATGTGAGACACATCAATTGGTTGCCTCCCGCACGTGCCCTGATGGGGCTGGGGATGGAACCTGCAACCCAGGTACATGCCCTTGACCAGGAATCGAACCCGAGATCCTTTAGTCCCTGGGCCGATGCTCTAACCACTGTACAACCGGCCAGGGCAATTCCTATTTTTCAATGGCATTGATAGCTGGAGGGAAAACGCTAGTTTTGTTGAAGAAGCATAAATAAATTGAGTCACGCCGTGGGTCCTCGTGGGGCAGGGCCCTGGGAGACCGAGGTCAGGCCGCTGGGGGAGGGCACTGCGGCCCTTGGCGTCCTCAGCTGCAGTGCCCAGTCCGAGCTCTTGAGCTGTTAAACTCGAATGGCTCCAGAAACTTTGACACAAAAAGGAAGCTATTTCTTACCGGTTAAAAACACCTGTTTGACTTTCAAATCTTAAATTATGACCTATTTTAAAAGTCCTGTTTATAGAGAATTAGATCTGACTCCAAATTAGTTTATTTTTAACTCTTCACAGCTGTCAATTCTGCCTCTCTGCTCTGGGGTTGAGAAAGGCTCCCTGTCTGGTTTTCCATTGTGACAGCGCTAGCATGTGGGAGTTTCTTAGAAATAAATGCCCAAGGGCTAACGGTAACCATGTTGTTAGGAGTGAGCATACCTGTTTTCTAAAGGGGAAACAGGATTAAAGAAAGGAGAGTTTTCATTTTGAAAGGGAAACATTTTCATTACTGGATCAACTTTGCAATATATATTTAAAAGGATTTTTTAATAGCAGGCTAATGCCTCCTTTTTGCTAAAAAATGAGTTATCAGTGACTTACTCTTTGGAGAAGGAACCAAAATAAATGGTTTACTGACCGTCTGTGAGATGTTGCCTTTCACGGTAGTTTCTGTAGTCAGCGATCTACCCAGGCATCAAGTTCTCCCAGGCTCTGCCCTTGAGCCTTGACCGGAGGTGAGCTCCTGTGGCCACCTTCACGGTGCCGGCTCCTGGAGTGTCCAGAGTTCCAACGTGAACTCGGTCCTGGTGTGCCCGCCTGAGACTGTGTCAGCGTGAACCCAGCGTCCTCTCAGTGTTCAGTGTGACTTGGTTCCCTTTGGCATCTCTAGTGAAAGACAGTATTAAGGTTGTGCTATTTAAATGTGTCTCTACCCAGCCAGCGTCGCTCAATAGTTGAGTATCGACCTATGAACCAGGATGTCACGGTTCGATTCCCGGTGAGGGCATATGCCCAGGTTGGGGGCTGGGTCCCCAGTGTGGGGTGTGCAGGAGGCAGCCGATCCATGATTCTCTCTCATCATTGATGTTTCTATCTCTCTCTCCCTCTCCCTTCCTCTCTGAAATCATGAAAATATGTTTAAATAAATAAATTGTGTCTCTTAGTGGGGCAGCTTCTCCCCTCTGCTTGTAGACATGGGAAATGAAGATGGTCCTCCGTGCTTTGCGGCCCACGTGAGGGAAGCTTGTGTGATGTTTTCAAAGTGGATGCTGCCCTCCTCTCACGCTGTCCTCGTTGCAGGTGTTCAAGGATAACTGCTGCAAGCGGGAGATCCTGGCCCTGCAGATCCACTGCCGGAACGTCGGCCGCGGCTGTGCCGAGCAGTTAGCCCTGGGACAGCTGCTGGTCAGTACCGAGGTCGCATGGGGTCCCGTGTACACAGCGTCCCCGGTCTGTGTGTGCACCTAGGCATTCATCATCTAAGACCTGCCACACGTGAGAGCAGTCATACCACGTGGGCCTGAAATGTCCCTTTTGTGACACCATTAGCAGAATTCCCCACTGGGTGTAAACTCACCACGAGGCCACCCTATTTAGAACAGAAGGAAATCGGTATCAAATTTTAATTTTGGAAGATCCATGAAAACCTCTTATTTTTACCATGAAATTCCACATAACTTCTTGTGTTGTTTTATTAGTATCACTAGAGGCCCGACACACGAAAATTCGTGCAAGGGTAGGCCTTCCTTCCCCTGGCTGCCGGCACCAGCTTCCCTCCGGCACCTGGGACACAGGCTTCCCTCCTCCAGCAGGCACCCGGGACCCGGGCTGGCTTCCCTCGGCTCTGGCTTCATCAGGAAGGACGTCCGGAAGATGTCTTGTCTAATTAGCATATTATCCTTTTATTATTATAGATTTTATCCTGAAAGGATATTTGAATTAGAATAAAACAAAGTCCTTAGCAGACAACCCTTTATTTATCTAGAGAGAAGTTTTCTTAATTCTTCAGAGCAAGATCATTTGAGAAGCCACTGAATGGGTGTGGGACTCAGTGTCTCTGACCCTGTGTCACTCTCCTCTGGAGAGGGGGTCTGGGCAGATGGAAATGTTTATGAGGGAGCTGATGGCGTGGAGGCCGAAATCAGGCGCTTCCCGTGGTGTTTGCTGCCGACTAAGAGCTTGGGATTGTCTGTCTCCCAGGTGCACCTGAGGAATGACTGCCAGTTTGAAGAACTCCCGTGTGTGCGTGCCGACTGCAAAGAAAGGGTCTTGAGGAAAGACCTGCGCGACCACGTGGAAAAGGCCTGTAAATACCGCGAGGCCACGTGCAGCCACTGCAAAAGCCAAGTCCCGATGATCACGCTGCAGGTGCAGTATTCGCGTTCCACCTACCGCCTGCTCGGGCCAGACGCGATCTGCCCGCAGAATAGCGTTTAAGTGACTGTTCTAACAGGAATAAGAGAAAAGCCGGGCGTAAATAGCAGTCTTCATCTGACTTCATTTCAGAGTTAAGCGCCATTTGCTTTACTCATTTTCATTTATGTAATTAACGTTTTCATTGCCTGGGTTGACTGTCACTTGGGTTGCCAAAAAAATGAAGACTGATTATTCAAAAGAGGTAGACTTTCTCACTCGTCCCAGGGAATGGCTCCCAAATCGTGTTGGACCGCCTAATTTCTCACCGCCCTGTGAAAACCATCGCGTCGGCAGGATGAGGCGCCCTGCGGCGTGGAAGCGCAGCCGTCTGTCTCGCAGGGATGTGGAGTTCACGTTTTTCTCCGACTGCGATTATTTTGGCCCAGTTCAATATCGTGCGCGTGTTAGAATCAGATCCCTTATCTGTAAGTTAAAGAGAGGGGTGATGCGGATGAGGGCAAACTTTGAAAACAGCCAGTGGTGTGGGAACCCTCAGCATGGGTCCATTTGTTGAACAACATTTATTAAGCGCCAGGCGTTGTTCTGGGACCTGCGGGTCCATGGCGAACACGCGGTGGGTGGTCCGGAGGGTGCCGTGGAGAGCAGGCCTGCGGCCGCCCTCCGACACAGTGGCGCGCGGGAGAGCTCGAGCAGAGGGAGCAGCGAGGGGACCCGGCTGAGCTGGAACCAGCTTGGCAGGTGGACTGTAGGAGCTGTGAGGCCAGCGCACTCCCAGCACTGAACACGGTCAAGGTGCCGAGGGTCAGGAAGCCGACGGCAGCCGGGAGCTGGGGGTGGCATTCCCTGCACTGTCCATCCAGCAGGTATGGCAGGTGGACGGGGCGGGGCATGGAGGCACTGTGTTGGCCTGGACAAGGAGAGCAGGGAGAGGGAGGGGTCCTGGGGTAGTTTTGAAGATAGAACCAATGGGATGAGCTGAAGGCTCAAGTATAGAGTGTGCGCTAAGGGTGACGCCCAGCATTTCTAGGAGCCGGAGCGCCCTGCCAAGGTGGGGCCCGTGGGGGATAAGAGGCTTAGGGGGCGAGGGGGATAGCGGGGTGGTCCAGGCTCCAGAAGGTATGAGCACCTGGCCCTTGCAGCCATGGGATGGGTGTGACTGGAGAGCCCAGGTCAGACGGAGCCTGGGCACATGGTGTTTGCAGGCCGCTGAGACGGAAAGTGGTCCGCAGAGGAGAGGCTGCTGTCAGGGGTCAGGAGAGGGGTGTCCTGGTGAGGGGCAGGGCAGGCAATGCTGCTGGGAGGCTGCGCAGGAGGGGCTGGGAGCTGACTTCGGGGTGAGGCAGAGCGATGACTGTGGGGTCATCAGATGGGGGGACAGGGAGGGGGTGCAGGGCCGCAGCCGCATTCCTGGTGGATGTTCTGAAGCAGTTATTGACCAGAATCCAGGAAAAGTCTTTTTTGTTTTGGTACAAAATCTTTATAATCTTCACGTTTGTATGACTTTCTCATGCCTGTGGCTTTCCCCCGTTGTGAAGTCTTTCCCCTGCGAGTCTGTAGACGCGCCCAGCTGGGAGGAGCTGGGCCTGCCCTTTGGAACGAGCGGAGTCCTGGTCACGGCTGAGCAGGGCCTCGGTGACCCCTCCGGTGCCGCGGCCGCCCCCAGTGAGCAGGCTCCGGCTCTGCACGCGGCGGCAGGTTGCTGTCAGACACTCCCTTGGCTTCTTGCAAGAACCACTTACCTCTATTTGCAGAATAGAATCCAGTAATTAATTTTCATTTGCGAAAGAATTGTAGAGCGTGTCCATTAAACATCACGCACCTGACTCTGAACTCCAGACAGGTGTGAGGAGACTGGTGTGACAATAACAGCGGAGGGATTCACGGGACGTTTGAGTGCCTGTTGGACCCGGTTGAGCTGGTTGCTCAGGACGCACGCGGGGCGCACACGGCGGTCTGTCCCCTCCCCTCACTGCCCCTGTGGCGGGAATGGAGCTCCCGAGGAAGGCCGGCTCGGTAGCCGGGGGGCCACGCGGGCCTCCGTACGCAGGCAGCATTCGATTTGATCTGGGTCTTAAATTTGTCAGCGGCAAACAGGTGCAGAGGCGAACGGGTGAGAGGCACAAAAAGATAGTTAGCAAGTTTGGGGCCTGAGTTGTGCCAGGAAAGACTCTTGGAAATTCACTGCGCTCTAGTGATCAACTGTTTAATGGTGCAGATGTGCCAGGTATGTTAAGGCATGTGCTTCCGTCTGCCAGGGCCTGTAACTCACAGTCCCCGCTCGTGCACGGGAGCGCGACTCGAGCAAGGCAGGTGCACTGGCCTCCTCGCACACCCGTCCCGGGTGGACTGGCACAGCTCGACTCCCGTCTCCTCCCTTTGCCTCATCTTCCCAGGCCCGGCATGTTAGTCCCCACGCCTGTGCTGCTAAGTAAGGTGCAGATTGGCACTCCGGACCGTTCCTTCTCATGGGAACCTCTCTCCTGTGTTTGAGCCGGTATCGATGTTACATCAGCGGGGCTGCAAGTAGCATGATTTTACATTTAGTCTGGAAATGCTCGAATATGGGTCGGTTGTGTTCGTTTGTGAGAAGTCAGAATTACATAGATCTCATTTTACGGGAGGATGTGTAGGCACAGCCATGTTGGAAAACGAGTTGGCGGAACATTCCTGTCCTCAGTTCGTGAGCCGCTCCTCTCCTCGCGGGAGGGGCAGCTGCCGTGCCCTCCCAGGACCGTGGCCGCACAGAGCCAGCGCCGCGGGAGCCAGGAAAGAGCCCAACGTCCACCCGCTGGGAGGGGCACAGGTGGTGGTGGCCCCAGGGACACTTGTGTGACGGTGTCGTTGCACACCTGTGAGAGGTGAGGGCCTGCACCGTGTGCAGTGCACGGAGTCGCCTGAGAAGCCTGATTCGGCCCAGGTCGCAGACGGCTCCGAGGGTAGAATTCTGTTTTGATGAAATTCAAAAGCAATCACAACAAAACAGGGTCTTGTCTGGAACAAATTCATGTGTGAGGGAACCTTTTTTTTTTTTGTAAAATATATTTTTATTGATTTCAGAGAGGATGGGAGAGAGATAGAAACCTCGTAAGGGAACCTTTTAAGCAAAGGAGTAGAAGCAGATGTCAGAAGTTTGGGTGGTGACTGTGGGGGAGGCGGTGGGACTGAACAGGAGCACACGGATAGGTGAGGCCGGGGCTGGTCCTGCTTTCAGCTCAGGTGTGTCCCAGCAAGTCCCACCTACTCTGACAGGCTGATTTCATCATGTGCTGAGTTCTTGCCAATAGATGAGCAGCTTTTTAGATATTTTTGTATTGATATCAGAGAGGAAGGAAGAGGGAGAGAGATACGTAGAAACATCAATGATGAGAGAGAATCATGGATCGGCTGCCTCCTGCACGCCCCACACTGGGGATGGAGCCCAAATCCTGGGCATGTGCCCTGACCAGGAATCGGACCGTGACCTCCTGGTTCATAGGTCGATGCTCATTCACTAAGCCAGGCGCACCAGGGGTGAGCAGCTTTCTAACGGGTGTGCTATTCTCCTTTGGCTGCTGTAACAAGGGGTTTCAGAGTTGGTGTTTTAAAACAACAGTTTATGCTCTAACAGCCCTGGAGCTAGAAATCCAAAAGGCTCTGGAGGACCCGCCCCCACCCCAGCCGGGGCGCTGTGAGTGCGCTGCCCACAGCCTCACTGCTGCGGCGGCCCGTGTTCCCGTGGCCACTTTCCCGCTGCGTGTCCTCCTCGTGTGAGGACCCTCCTGATCCAGCGAGGCCTCATCTTCCCCTTACGTCCGCGCAGACCCTCTTCCCAAGGGAGCCCACACTGAGTTTCCGGGTGGACAGGAACGGGGAGAGGGCTCACTGTCCCACCCACCGCAATGGGCGAGAGCCAAGGAAAGGCAAGTCACAGGGAACATAAACGACCAACGTAGAAACCTGCTCAGCCACGCGCTGTTACAGAATCCCACATCGGTCGCTGCCACCCTGACGGTCACGGAGGAGGGGGACGTGTGCTGGGCTGACAAGGCAGGCGCTCGCCACACGGTAACGGCGTGCAGGGTGAGTGGGGCCGGCGGCGATACCTGTCAAAGCCCCATTGAAAGAGCCTCACCGTGGCTCCCAGCACAGCCTGCGTCCTGACAGCTGTCCTCAGGCACCGCGCACACATCTGCAGAGGCCTTGACTGCCTGGCCTCGTGGCCGGACACTGCTCCCACCCCACTTCTCCCTCAGGGCGCCCCCCCCGCCCCGCCACACACACACACACACACACACACACACACACACACACACACTCTCTGCATCCCTAGCGGTCCTCCTGGGCTGGTCTGTGCATGAGGACGGGATGCGCAGGTTGGTGAGGAGGCAGGTTGGGGAGGAGGCGGAGCGTTGCCTGGTGAGCTCTGAGGCCCAGGCCTGACTCCTCCCTCCCAGCGCCCGCCACCCCGGCTTTGCAGGTGAGGTGGAGGCGGAGCTCTTGTCCAGGTTTCTCCCTGAAGACCTGGCCCTGGCACCAGGATGCTGCACACAGGCAGGCAGGATGGGAAGCCAGCGCGGTGCCTCGGGGAGGCCTGTGGTCGAGGGCCCTCCAGTGCGCTCCGAGCCGTGTGGCCTCGCCTCCGGGACCTCGGACCTGGCCCAGCAGCAGATCAGCGTGTGCCGAAGGTCACCGCTGGCCACAGACCCAGAGACGGGCCTTAAAACCACGCGGGAAAGCACAGTGTGCAGCCTGCGGGCCTCAGGAGAAGCGTCCCCGCTCACTCGCCCACATGGACCACCCTGTCCTCTGCTCCACACCTGCCCAGTCAGACCCAGGCGCCTGGCCAGGCTCCCGTCTCCCCGCTCAGCAGCCTGGCCTGGGAGGCCAGAGAGAAGCTGGGACCTGGAGGAGGGGGGAGTGTCCGGGGCCTGGCCTCCTGGGCACCTTGCTGAGCGCGCAGTTCCCCCTCCGCCTCCGCCTGCTCTCACGGCCCTGTCGCCTGTCACCTCTGCTCGGTGCCCTTGCCCTTCCTGCACTTACGGACAGGTGCATGGGTGCCGGCGGCATCGAGTTGATCAGTCCCTGTCACTCAGGCCCCTGCACTTGAAATTGGTGCTATCCAGAGAAGGGCTCAAGCAGACTTTACCCATATTTTCCAGGCACTAAAGATAATTTCAGTAGGATTTCAGGGCTGTAATTTAACTACCCAGGAGGTCTGGCTGTTCTGGGCATTTGAGAAGCATCATTTCCAGACCCCAAACTGAGAGGCCAGACAAAACCCGTCTCCCCGAGAGCAAAGGCTGGGCCCGGGCTGGTCTCAGCCCGCCCTCACCTCCCCTTGCCGCTGTGGGCACAGGCGCCCCGCTCAGAGCACACACTGCTCCCACGAGGGCTGTGGCTCGTCAGGGTGCCCGGGCTCCCGTGAGGCCGTTCTCCCAGCACTTTGTCGGGGTGAGGGCCTATCCGGACGGACGTCGAGCGCCTCTTCCGGGTCCTGTATGTTTCAACGCTGACGACAGGTTCCTTTTCTCCTGCAGAAACACGAAGACACTGACTGTCCCTGCGTGGTGGTGTCCTGCCCGCACAAGTGCAGGGTCCAGACCCTCCTGAGGAGCGAGGTAAGGGCGCCGCTGCCTGGCCCGGGGTCCGAGGACGGCGAGCCGTGGACACCCTCCCCGACTCCGAGACCCTGGGTTTGCAGGTCACAGTGGAAACCCTCCCGCTGCTCTTGGGGGGGCACAGTGTCAGTGCAGGACGAGTGTTGCTAAGAATTGAGGAAACGGGATTGCTTCCAGTGCAAGCAAAGGAGATGCCATTTTTAAAAGCAGCTGTTTTTAAATCAGTAAAATAGGAATTACTATAGGATTATCTCAAGAAAATGGATTTGTTCAGAGATGCTGCCGGAGCACTTAGGCCGCTGCTGGCGGTGTTGGCGTGGGCAGCAAGTGGCACCGGCCAGTGGCTGCGTGTGAGGGGCCACTGGGAAGGCACCTTCCCCAGACATACCCAGATCGAAAACTCCCAGGGTTCTTCATGTCTTTGCATCCAGTCCTGACCTGGAGCCCCTTTGGTTGCCATTTGGGGTGCCACTGGGGCTCACATGGGCTCAGTGGGCTCCTCGGGTGCGCGTGTCCCCTTAGTCCTGGGGGCTCTGCTCTGAGAAGTCCCCTCAGCCTTTTTGGCCGCCGGGAATTTTACCACTGGAGACAGTGTGGGGAGCATCCCCTCAGGTCCTCACTGAGTGGGAGACGCGGGGTGCAGGGAGGACCCCAAGAGCTGCTCTCCCTCGAGGTGCATCCTGCACAGGTTGACTGTGGGGCGAAGGCAGGGTCTTGCCTGGTGGCCGGTCCCTGGCCCTGAACGTGCCTCTCCGAGTAGCGATTATTTCCACAACCAGAGAGCCGCTCTGTTAAAGTGAACGCACGCAGAGTCTGTTGTTGAAATAATTTCAGGGTCTTACACACTCTGCTAAATCTTTACTCACTCAGGGCTATCTGAATTAGGGACGAAAGCTGCCTCCATTTTGCCTCGAAGTTATTTTTATTTCAAAAAATCTTTCAACCAGCATTTACCTTGAGTTTCTGGTGAAAGGTGTTATTGGCGTATAGATTATTCTTGCCTCTATTCCAAAGTGCCTGCAAATTCTGTAAGGCTTTGCGAGTGACGATAATAAAGCCAATTTAGGGAAAAGTGTGACCCTGAATTTATGGCGGCGCCCTGACAATCGCGTGGGCTCTGCTCCCGCAGCACAGCCGGCTGCTCGGTCCCGACGGCGGTGATGGCAGTGGAAGGTCCTTTTAAAGTTTAAGTTGCTCAGGCGGCACCTCTGCCGGCCCCTGTGATGGACCTTCTAGGCCGGCCGTGGGCAAACTACGGCCCGCGGGCCAGATCCGGCCCGTTTGAAATGAATAAAACTGAAAAAAAAAAAAAAAAAAGACCGTACCCTTTTATGTAATGATGTTTACTTTGAATTTATATTAGTTCACACAAACACTCCATCCATGCTTTTGTTCCGGCCTCCCGTCCAGTTTAAGAACCCATTGTGGCCCTCGAGTCAAAAAGTTTGCCCACCCCTGTTCTAGGCGCTCCCTCCGGTGCAGGCCTGACTCCAGGCTGGGGTCAGAGGAGCCTGGGTGTGCTGGGCTGCCCCGCTCAGAGACCGCAAAGGTGGCCATGGCCGGTCGGGTCCTCAGTGCCGGCCCTCCTCATAGCAGTCGCAACAGAGAGCAGTCCTGTGGCCACTTTCCTCTCTGTCCCAAGTGCTGACCTACAGGGAGTGGCCTGCTTTGTCCTGCAGACCAAGGCCCCCCCCACCAGAGTGATGCCCCACAGGCACTGGGGGTGTGGCCCTGGCCCACAACAGACAGGTCCTGGTTGTTCCTATAAAGGTCTGTCCCCGGAGTTTCCTGATCAGAATGTGTTTCTTCAGTAAAAGGAGAAACCGCCCTTACATTGTGTCAGCCCAGGGCCCAGCACCTTCTGCCTCCGGAGGGGGCGTCACAGGTGTAGGTGGTTTGTATGGACCAGTTGCCGACCTGCAGCTTCATCGTCATCCTCTCCCAGGTCCTCTGATCCCCGTCAGCGAGAGGTGACAGCTCAGACTCCTGTTAGCACGGCCGCAGCGGCCTTTGGAGACCGAGACCGCGGTGCGCGCCCTGCAGGGCAGTCAGGGAAGGGACGGGAGGCGGCAGCCGCGGCGCCCGCGCTTCTTGGGAAGTGTTTGTGCTGTGTATGAGGTGTGTGGCCCAGTTGCATCCCGGATGCTTTCCTTTTTGTGTTTCATGCACTTTTCGTTTACAGTCTCTCAATGTGCATTTCAGTTTACGTTTCTTCCTTTCTTATCTCTGGCACTGCAGACGGCAGGTCACGTTTCGAACATTCCTAACGAAAACTCGAGTTTAAGCAACGCTACAGTGAACGTATTTCCGTATATTGGTGTATCTGTGTACACACGTGACAATACCGTGAATTCACTGCCGAGGAGTCTGGGAGCCGGTGACGGGACACACCTGCGGCTGTAATCGCTGTCCGTGACGGCGCAGCCTGGGTGCTCCTGTGCCTTTAACCTGTTTGAACATTTTCATGCGAATGTTCGTGCCACAACTCACGTCTCTTTCCGTTGCAGTTGAGTGCCCACTTGTCAGAGTGTGTCAATGCCCCCAGCACCTGTAGTTTTAAGCGCTATGGCTGCGTTTTTCAGGTCAGTATCCGATGTCTGTCCTTCCCAGTCGCTGACATTCTGCCATGGGAGCAAGTTATTACATTAGCATTTTAACGTGCCACTTCTGGGCTTGGAGTCCTTGCATGAAACCGAATCACCCTGTGGCGTGGGTGACGGTGGGGCTTTGAGAGTTAAGGCGGACACCTGTGCCAAGAGGAAGTCAGGATGTTGCCGTCTGAAACCAGCTACTGAGTGGGTCGTACCGGCCTGACGGGTGGGGTTTGCAGCTACGGTTATGGCGATGTCAGCTGTAACGCTTCTGAGTAAGTGTGCAGCCGGCTGCTGTGAGCAACTGTGGTAAGGGTCGCACACATGTGTATCCATAAATGCATTTTGCATATAAGCCACACCTCCTGGGACAGCAGCATGGAGAGGACGTCTTCGTCATTGCCACACCTGTGCTATGACAAACCTGTTTCTGACTTTTTATTTTTTTAAGTATATATGTATTTTTTTAAATATATTTTTATTGATGTCAGAGAGGAAGGGCGAAGGAGAGAGAGATAGAAACATCAGTGATGAGAGAGAATCATGGATCAGCTGTCTCTGCACGCCCCTCACTGGGGATGGAGCCCGCAACGCAGGCCTGGGCCCCGACCTGGGATTGAACATGACCTCCTGGTTCCTAGGCCGGCGCTCAGCCACTGGGCCACGCCGCCCGGCGATTTATTTCTTTAACACGTCTGAGATTGCTAGTGAATTTGAACTGAGTTTCTATTTAAATGTGTATCTTAATATTAAAACTATGAAAAGACAGCATCTGTTACTATGAGAGTATTTCATATTTAATTTTGTGTGTGAGTCACACATCGTCACGAAGTTAGTACCGAGACATGCTGTCCTAGTATTTGCTCAGGAAGTGAAACCTGCGCATGAAGAGGACTGTAGCTTCTCTCTGCCCAGGCTCCTGGGGGCGGAGTCTCGCCCCTGTGATGTCGTGTGTAGTACCTTTCATTCTGTGTCTGTGTATGTATATGTTGACATATAGCAACACTTATGTCAACATATACATAGGAATATTCTCTGTACAGAGTATATGTTTTGGAGATCATTAAAATGCTTCCTGTGGCTTCTTAATTTTCTAATATCAAAACAAATTCTATTTTCCTGTCAATTACGTCCTTAAGAATGGAAGCACTATTTGCTGTGCTTGTTCCTGAGATGGTCTGCATCTTATGTACTCTGTAGCTGGTTTATTTATGTTTCTATGTAACTTCCTAAGTAGCCTTTAGAACAGCGAGCAGTGCATTTCCCGCTACAGTGTACGTCACTGATAAGTTCATGTTCTGGTGAATTAGTCAGAACCCTCATCCGATTACATGTTCACTCGATTACTGTGTCAGTATCTAGCTGTAACTGAAGCTGTCCCAACCCGTTTATATTTTCATGAATGAATTTCTAAAGGAAGGAAAATGATATGTCTGAAATTCAGTTTCTTGATGTTGTATGAAACAGCCGGGAAGTCACTTGGTGAGAGCAGCTTAGGAGTGAAGCCGTGAGCCCGAGATCCCTGTACAACTTCAGAGCCGCCTCCCGTGCACCCGCTGGCAGCGGAGTGGGGCCGCTGGGCACGGCAGTCAGTCACATCCCAGGAGCCAGGCTCCCCCTCCCCGTTCAGCTTCTCTGGCTCCTGCTCTGTGTGGGCGGCGAGGGCTGATGCCCTGCACTTTGCTCTGCAGGGGACGAACCAGCAGATCAAGGCGCACGAGGCCAGCTCCGCGGTGCAGCACGTGAACCTGCTGAAGGAGTGGAGCAACTCCCTGGAGAAGAAGGTAGGACACCCACGTGCTGCTGGTCCTCTCCGTGGTCTCCTCCGCTTTTCTGCGGTGATTCACTGTCTGAGGGTGAAAGGGGCGGCACCACGAGACGGTCAAGTACGTTCTCCTCACAGCCTCACTGTGAAGGCATTGCATTGGGTCTGTTTTTTATTGCCAGCACGTGTGCCGAGCTTTTTAAAAATCGTGTGGTTATCTTAGCGTTGCTCTGGACAGGGACTGCCGCACACGCAGACCTCCCTCTCCTACACATGAAGTCGTCTTGGGCACCGGGCTCATTCCTTCCCACGCTGGCTCTGGCTGCGGCCAAGTGGAGCAGCTGGGACACCGGGGCCGCACAGCTCACATCCTGCCCTCTGGCCCTTGGAGAACAGGTGCCAGCCCCCGACCGGGACGGCATCTCATGTCACAGGTACTCCACTGGCTTCTCAAGCGGCACTGTGGGAGCTGGGGCACCGAGCAGGCCCTTCCCCAGAGGGACTCACTCGCCGGCTGCCCTTCAAGGAGCTGGTTGTGGGCTGGGCTGTTCGCAGCCCCTTCCTGGGGAGCTGGTTCATGGGGTGCTGCGTGGCAGGCCTTTTCCGAGAAGGGGAGGACCTCTGAGAGCAGATGGAGTTGTCTGGGATCACTCGCTGCAGGGTACTTGCAAAGTGAAAACTGGGCGCCCAGCACACGCGCCTGGAGAGCGCAGCGGAGGCCCTGAGCCGGCCGAGCAGCCAGGTCAGCCTTGTCTGTGCGGATCCGAATGCCTCTTTTCAGTTAAATCCGGGCAATTTAAATATTCATGTGCTTGAAATAAAGCAGCGTTTCAGTATAGATGCTTAAGCTGGAGATGCACAGGCACACGGAGCAGGCGTCCGTTGGACGTGCAGGCAATGTCGTCAGTGAGTCACGTGTGGTGTCCTATGAGCCGTGGTGTCTACGCTCTGTTCTCCGTGGTTTTGCAAGAAGTCTTTTCTTTGGAGACTGCTGCTTCTGCCTTTTAAAAAAGTATAGGTTTTGCCCTGGCCGGTTTGGCTCAGTGGATCGAGCGCCAGCCTGCAGACTGAAGGGTCTTGGGTTCAATTCCAGTCACAGGCGTGGATCTGGGTTGCAGGCTCCTCTCTGGCCAGGGCTCTGGTCCGGGTACGTGCAGGAGGCGACCAATCGAGGTTTCTCTGCCTCTTCCACTCTCTAAAAAGTCAATGGAAAAACACCCTTGGGTGAGGAATTAAAAAAAAAATTTATAGGCATAGATGTCAGGGCTTTAGTCTCTCCCTTCTCATTTATTTAAAAGGTTCTCTCGCTCATGAGGGTGAGTTGGCTTATCCAGCTGCAGGAGTTGCATAGCATCTGCGGGTCTGGGGTGGCGGCTCCCCGCTGAGACCTTGTGGGCGCCCAGAGGCCCGCCCCTCAGTGCGGGCTCCCCCCACCGGGAAGGGCCTCACCAGGGACCACACGCACAGCACAGCAGCCTCGCTCTGCGGACACTGGCGCCTGGTGCGGGAGCTGCAGGCGACGGGAGCGGCTCAAGGGTCTGTCCCACCTCTGTCTGTCCCAAGGGGCCCCGTCCCCCCACGCTGCCTCCCCTGCACCCCTCTCCCCCGCGGTCGGACCCTTGCTCTTCACTGGGCCCAAAGCAGAGCTGGACCAAAATGGAGGCCACATGTCCTTTGTACGAAGGGCTTCCTCCTGGCGCAGGTCCTGCAGGGGAGCCTCAGGCAGGGTCATGCGGCAGGAAGTGGCATGTGGGTCGGTTCGGAGACTGGGCCTCACATTCGGGGTCAAACTGTAGAAAATGTCCTGTGAAACCGGGAGTTAAAGGCGCCGTCACACCTTCCATTTCAGAGGCTCGCGCCCCAGGGAGCAGCACCGTCCGGGGGCCGCGCTCAGGAGGGCGGGCCAGGCTGGGGGGGGGGGGGGGCGGGGGCGGGCTCCCCGAGGGAAGGCATCAGAAAGGAAAGGAGCTCCGAGCAGGGCGGCCCCTCGGCACAGACGGAGCGGAAGGTGCTGTTGTCCTGTGGGGCCGAGCCCCCTCTGCGCTCAGAGAAGAGCCGGTCGCCGTCTGGGGCTGTGACAGCTGGACTGAGGGCCGCCCTCGGCACGGGCGGAGGCGCCCTGTCCCCGGGAAGTGCTTGGCGCTGAGCGGAGCCGCAGGCGGTGGCAAGTCTGTCCTCCGCAGGGAGCACGTTTGTTCCCAGTGAGACCACGACGTCCAGAGGCGCTGCCGCCACCGAGCTGGGGGGTGGGGGGGGCTGCCTCCGGTGCTCACTGGGCGGGACTCGGCCTGGACAGCTCATCACCTGGGTCCTTCCTGTGGTGACTCGGCCGTCCCCGCACTGCCGTCCGCCCACTGCCGCCCCCGCACTGCCGTCCGCCCACTGCCGCCCCCGCACTGCCGTCCGCCCACTGCCGTCCGCCCACTGCTGCCCCCGCACTGCTGTCTGCCCACTGCCGCCCCCGCACTGCCATCCCCTCACTGCCGTCCGCCCACTGCCGTCCCCGCACTGCCGCCCCCGCACTGCCGCCCCCGCACTGCCGTCCGCCCACTGCCGCCCCCGCACTGCCGTCCCCGCACTGCCGTCCCCCGCACTGCCGCCCCGCACTGCCGTCCGCCCACTGCCGCCCGCCCACTGCCGCCCGCCCACTGCCGCCCCCGCACTGCCGCCCCCGCACTGCCGCCCGCCCACTGCCGCCCGCCCACTGCCGCCCCCGCACTGCCGCCCCCGCACTGCCGTCCGCCCACTGCCGCCCCCGCACTGCCGCCCCCGCACTGCCGTCCGCCCACTGCCGTCCGCCCACTGCCGCCCCCGCACTGCCGCCCCCGCACTGCCGCCCCCGCACGGCCGTCCGCCCACTGCCACCCCCGCACTGCCGCCCGCCCACTGCCGCCCGCCCACTGCCGCCCCCGCACTGCCGTCCCCGCACTGCCGTCCCCCGCACTGCCGCCCCCGCACTGCCGTCCGCCCACTGCCGCCCCCGCCCTGCCGCCCCCGCACTGCCGTCCGCCCACTGCCGCCCCCGCACTGCCGCCCCCGCACTGCCGCCCCCGCACTGCCGTCCCCGGGGTCCTCCATGCAGAGAGGCTGTGGTGGTGGCGCCTTTCAAGGGCCAGCTGCCAGCATGGAATCGCGAGACAAAGCCGTGAAGGGGTTGCCGGGGGCTGCGGACCCCGCGCGGTGGCTCTGGGGCTCATGGTTTCCCAGGAAGGGATTGGACCCAGGGGCGTGGTGGCCTGGACCCGCCTGGGGCGGCGGTGGCGGGCAGCCAGTCCTCACCGGGCCTCCTGGTTGGGAGGGAGCGCTTTTCCAGGTGCAGGGAGTGCCCGTGGCGGGTTGTGACCACATTATTCACAGCAAACAGGGTGAGAGAGGGAACCCAGTGTGAGGACAAGCGCGGTCTGAGATGCCTGCTTTTCAGGCGCACGCGCACACGCAGGGCGAGTGGGTCATGTATGTGCGTTTCCCGGCCGGAGTCTGAAAGCCTCTCTGGCGAGAGGCTCATTAATTTCCAGCAAAACCTTCAGAGAGCGTCCCACTCGTCCTGAAATCCACGGGCATCGCCCTGCGCGGTCCCGGGTGAAGGGTGCTTCCCGGAACCCGCCCAGGGAGCCCGCAGGCCTGCCTTCCGAAAGCCGAGTGGCTGCCCGTTAACATTAAACCGTATTTTGTTCGCTTGACGGCAGCGTTCCTTTTTCAGGTCTCCCTGCTGCAGAATGAGAGTGTGGAGAAGAACAAGAGCATACAGAGCCTGCACAACCAGATATGCAGCTTCGAGATCGAAATTGAGAGACAAAAGGAAATGCTGCGAAATAACGAATCCAAAATACTGCACTTACAGGTAAGAGGCATCGCCTGGCCGATGGAGGGTGGCCGGGCGGGCCCAGGACAGGGCTCCCCCTCCTTTCCCGGGAGCAGCACCATCCCTCTCTCTGTCTTTGACCCACGTGGGTGCAGCAAGTCTCACAGCCCGTGATTTACAAATTAGCCCTTTTATTGTTGAGGGTTTCGTGTTCATCGGTGGTTCTGTGTCAAGTTTCACTTCCCGCGGTGAAGTGAAGGCAAACTCTCTTGATCCAAACTTCCCAGTGATTCTCGGGCTCCTCACCCGAGTCCCCCTGGGTCCAGAGCCAACAGCTGCCCGGGCAGAGGCAGGCGTGTGGCTGGGCCTGGTGAGAAGGATGGTCCCCGCCTGCTGCCAGCTCGGTCTCCGAGGCCCTTGTCAGTGTATCGTCGTGGTGGCTGCTGTCTGCACAGCGCTTGCTCGTGCTGTGCGTGCGTCATAGGCACCCCAGGGCGCGGCCAGATGGCTCCTCCGGGCTCGGCTTGGTGTTTCCCCGCCTCCCCTGGAAGAGAGCTCAGCCCGGCGTCTGCGGGAATGCCTCTCCGCCCGCTTCAGCCCTGGAGGCTGGTCAGCCTGCCTTCGGGCGCTGCACAGGGACTCGTTAAGAGCTTCATTGGTCTGGACTTTGTGCATGTCCGGGGATGAGGAAAAGCGCTGAAATGCTAGGTTGTGTTAGGAAAGGTACAGGTCGTTAGCGCTGGGTAGCCAAAAAGTACAGCGTAGTAAACCACCAGCACGCCTCCTGCGGGAAGTCCCTGGTGGTGATTTTTGTGTTATTATTGTTGTTTAATCTTCACCCAAGGATATTTTTAGAGTGGGGGGGGGAGGGTAGGTGGGAAAAGAGAGATAGAAACATCGATGTGAGAGAAACACATTAATTGGTTGTCTCCCGCATGTGCCCTGACCTGGGCTGGGGATCGAGCCTGCAAGCCAGGTACATACCCTTGACCCAGGTATCTAAACCAAGACCCTCCTGTGCACAGGCCAGTGCTCTAACCACTGATACACCTGACCAGGGCCCTCACCTGCCTGGGGCGCAGGACGAGCCATTTGTCGTGAACCTGCTCTGTTTGACCTGGGGCTCAGGGGCGCATGGAAAGGCTGAGGAAGTTACACCTGTTAAAAATACCAGCAGCGTAGGAAACGTGGATAGGTAGTGGGTTCAAGTGAACCAAGACGTTGGAATCTGATGATGAGGTCATAGTCGCCCTCACTGGAAACCTCCGGATTCTCTCTGCATTCACTTCCTCTTTCGGTGAGAAAAGTTGGAATTTAATGTCCTTTTCTGTAGAGCTTAATCATTCCACTGCATGTGAGTTATATTTTAAAGCTTCTGTGATTGAATAAACCCATGAGGTCTAAGGAAGGCGGAAGCCAGGCTGCGGGATGGTGAGGTGAAGCGCACGGCGGCCGGAGGGGCTCCACTCGCTGGTGTCCTCCAGAGAGAGGACCTGGGGACAGGCTGTATGTAAACGGGGGCTCCAGCCGGCTTGCTCTCGGCTCCCCGCAGGCTCACGTGGAATCCAGCCATGAGGGGAGTGCAGTTGATCGCTGACCCTGCTGGGAGGTTCCAGCGCGTGGCTGGAGGAGAGAAAATCTGTCCGTCTCAGTAGACGCGGGTCTTCTGAGCCCCATGGGCTGCGCGCCAGATGTGTCTGTCAGCCAGGCGCTTCCTCTGCTGTCCCTGCAGGCCCCTCTCCAGCCGAGCCCGGCGCACACACACCTGCCATTACTTCCTTCCTCGGCTCAAACACCGCCCCCCCTCCCCCGCCCCAGCTGCCAGGAGAAGTTTGTCTTAAATGCTGTGCTGTGGCCAGAAATACTTATATCACCGGCCACTCTGTCACCTGTGTGTCCACAGCGCGGAGAAATGGGTCTTCTCCCCCACCCACCTTTCCTGGCTCTGGCTCCTCCTCAGACACCTCAGGTGTCAATGCCGCCTCCTCCAGGAAGCCTGGCGGACCCCACCCTCTCGCTGTCCCACAGCCCCGTGCACCGGGACCCACCCGGTGTTCTGACCCTCCAGTGGGCCCTGAAGTCCCGGACGCAGCGGCAGCGCCTCTGAGCAGAGGGTTCCCACGGACAGGGATGCAGACAGACTCGGGTGGAAGTGAAGAGTGTGTCAGCTTAACATTGGACGTTTTAAAGAGCCTTTTCCGTAGTTAGCAAGGCAGCCTGGGTATACTGTGAGGCCCAGGTCCCGCTGTCAGGAGGGGCTGGGAGGACCCAGGCTCTGGCAGTGGCGGGTCTGGGACAGGCGTTGCGGTGACAGAGGCCCAGGCGCGGGCGCTGCAGGCAGGCCCCGCGCCCGGTGCCCACGTGGTGTGTGTGCGGCCGCAGTTTATCTCGGCTCCGAATGCGTGTTCCTGAAAGCCCCACGCCCGCGCTTGGGATCTGCTCTCCTGGAAACTGCAGCTGCCAGGTGGAGCCTGCTCCTCAGGCCCGAAGCCGCCTGTGCTGGCTCTTCAGCGCTCGCGCGGCCTCGCCTGGCCCCTGCGCCAGGCAGTGCTGCTGGTCCGATGGCGGCCATTTGAAAGGGCCGTTCCCTCGCTGCGTGGAGCCCCCCTACAGAATTGGGTGAGCCTTGTCTGTGTACCCATGTGCCCGCGAGCGTGCCCGCGTTCCGAGCCGGGCCTTGCTGTCCGTACGGGGGCTCATTGTTCAGACACCACAGTTCTGTCCTTGAGGTGACCACACGCCCACAGGCCGCTGTCCCAGGCCCCTCCCTGTGGGGGTGGGGAGTGCAGGAGGCTCCGTGAGACGTGCGTGCGGGGCGTGTCTTGGGCCCGGCTCCTGGCTCCTTCAGCATCACTCACCACCGCCGATCTCTGCGGGCTCCTTTACAGTCCCTGGGAGCCCCCCCTGTCACCTCACAGGGCGAGTGCATAACTGCTACAGGCGCCTCGGGTGTGGTGCTCGCTAGCGCTGTGCCCCGGAAGCAGACTCGGGGGCCAAGGAAACGCCCACAGCCCCCGCCTTAGAGTAAAACAGGTGACGTGCACAGGAGGAGGAATCGTCTTTCCTTTTTAAACACGAGCCCCTGCCAGGCTTTCTTGGAAAGAAGAGGAAGAGTAACACTGCTTTTGCCCCAAAAAAGTAAGCCGTGTTTGTTCCTTCGTGGTTAGTAACAGCCCCCAAAGGTGCTGAAACTTACGTGTTTAAAAATAGGCTTTCAAAAGGGGAAGTGAATTTGCCCCTCCCCCCCCCCCCCCCCCCCAGTTTAATGGGGCGCCTTGCCCAGCCTCCAGGAGCTGTATGTCACAAATGCAAATTCTTTTTAGAAGTGAAAACCCTCTAGGCCCCGGCCTGGGCGGGGCAGTGGGCATGCCAGTCCTTAGCTGGAGTGCAGGCCTCGTTCCTCCAGTCCCTGCAGAGATGTAAATGGTCTGTGTGTTTCCGGGAGGAAAGGTTTTCTGAATTATCTAAATTAAAATAGCAGAGCCCGGCCCACGTGGCGCAGCGGTTGAGCATTGACCTATGGACCAGGAGGTCACAGTTCAGTTCCCAGTCAGGGCACGTGCCGAAGGTGTGGGCTTGATCCCCAGTGTGGGGTGTGCAGGAGGCAGCCAATAAATGATTCTCTCTCTTTCTCCCTTCCTCTCTGAAATCCATAAAAATATCTTTAAAGTTAAAATAGTGTAAAGCCAGAACTCGCTGTCAATAGCACGTGTGGGCCAGCAGTGTGGTGTTCTGTGGCCTGGAGGCCGTGGGACGTAGAGCAGGGAGCAGCGGCGGAGGGAATCCCCTCACCCCCCACCCCACCCCCGCCAGGGCTCCGTTCCCTCAGCCCTGGGCCCAGGCAGCCAGGGAGGAGGCCACACTGGCCCCTGCTGATGGCTCAGTGCCTTTCGGGACAGGCCTTCCAACAGGACCAGTGGTGTCACTGCAGCATGACCTGAGACCCCCAGGACAGAGGGACGCAGGCTGCCTGCCCTGTCATCGGCGGGTGAGACCCTGTGCCGAGCTCGGTCCCCTCTGGGAACGTGGACTCTCATTCCTCGTGTCTCCTGAGATTCACGAGAGGCCTGCGTGCAGGGGCAGGTGCGGGGCTGCCCTGGCCCTGAGCTGGCCGCTCCGCTCCTACCCAGGCTCTCAGTGGTGGCACGGCGTCTCCGGAGAGCGCTAACCGTGTTTGTCCTTTTGATGCCTTTGGTTTGGAAGCGAGTAATCGACAGCCAAGCAGAGAAACTGAAAGAGCTGGACAAGGAGATCCGCCCCTTCCGGCAGAACTGGGAGGAAGCAGACAGCATGAAGAGCAGCGTGGAGTCCCTGCAGAACCGGGTGACCGAGCTGGAGAGCGTGGACAAAAGCTCAGGGCAGGCGGCCCGCAACACGGGTGAGCGCGGGCGGCGGGCAGTGACATGTCTGAGGGGCTGGGACGGGGCGCACGTCGCAGACGCCTGCGACCCCCAGTGCGGGTTGCGGCTCAAACTTGAGGGGTAGGCGGTCCCCTCGGCACCTGGGGCCGGGACGTCCGTCACAGGTGCAGCGTATGCCCAGGCGGCAGGCCTCCTGCTGAGGCGTCTTCGGCTGAAAGAAACGGGTCCCACAGACCCGTCCCCTCGGTGCGAGGCCAGTGGGGGGATGCGGGTGGAGGGCAGGGCCTGCCAGGCGGTGCTCGTGACGCCCACGTGTGTCAGCTGGTGGTTCTGGGCCTGTGACTCGGGGCTGAATGAATGTTCAGTGTTTGCGTGAAAAGACTGGTGGTGAGAGGAACATGTGGGGTTGGACTGAGCTGCACGAGGACATGAGGTGGGAGAGGAGCCACTGGAACTCGGGGCACAGACGACCCCGAGCCTTGGGCTGGAAGGACAGGGGCGCCCTCCCTGCCCCAGCGGCTCCCCGTTGTGGATGCTGCAGAGGTGCCCAGGGACCCCAGGCTGGTGGTCTCAGCAGCCGTCACCTGGGTGTGTGGGCCCTTGTCAGGTCAGCTGCGTGGCGTTCGCCCTCCACTGCCAGGACCCTCGGTGGTTTCTCAGTGTTTAGTGCAGACACTGGTGAGGGTCGGCCTCTCCCTTTCTGACCCGCTGACACCCTCACCCTCTGTCCGCTCTGTCCGCCCGCCAGGCCTGCTGGAGTCCCAGCTGAGCCGGCACGACCAGATGCTGAGCGTCCATGACATCCGCCTGGCCGACATGGACCTGCGCTTCCAGGTGCTGGAGACCGCCAGCTACAACGGTGTGCTCATCTGGAAGATCCGTGACTACAAGCGGCGGAAGCAGGAGGCCGTCATGGGGAAGACGCTGTCCCTGTACAGCCAGCCCTTCTACACGGGCTACTTCGGCTACAAGATGTGCGCCCGGGTCTACCTGAACGGGGACGGCATGGGCAAGGGCACGCACCTGTCGCTCTTCTTCGTCATCATGCGCGGGGAGTACGACGCGCTGCTTCCCTGGCCCTTCAAGCAGAAGGTGACGCTCATGCTCATGGACCAGGGCTCCTCGCGGCGCCACTTGGGGGACGCGTTCAAGCCAGACCCCAACAGCAGCAGCTTCAAGAAGCCCAGCGGGGAGATGAACATCGCCTCCGGCTGCCCAGTGTTCGTGGCACAGACTGTGCTGGAGAACGGGACGTACATCAAAGATGACACCATTTTTATTAAAGTCATAGTGGATACTTCGGACCTGCCTGACCCCTGACAGCCACAGGGGGCGGATTGAGCAGAAGGCAACTCCTCGGGGTTGGAATTGCTGTCTCCACCGGGGTCCTCACGCTCAGCGAGGACCTTGTGGAGCAGGAAGTGCAGGAGGCGGCCGCGGGCCGGCGGGAGGAGCCAGCCGGGGACGCTTTCTATAGACTAGCAACACTTCACTGAAGAATTCTTTATCCTGCGGCGAGGAACACTGCTGTCGGAGAAGGCTCATTTCCATTTTAAAGGTCTCATTCATTAAGGTGGGAGACACATAGGCTCCGAAAAGAACCATGAGTTTTCCTCCTGAAACTTGAACACACACAAGACACACCCACCACATGCACACACGCCTGGGCTAGCTGGACATGTCAGCATGTTAAGTAAAGAAGAGTTTATGAAATAATAATGCAGTTCTGATATATTCGTTCTAAAGCTCCAGAGTGCAATCTTGTTTCAAATACAGCATATTGTCTATTTTTAAGGCCTCACCTGGTCTCTGTTTTAATAATTTGTTTGTCAGAAGACCCTGAAGTCACCTCGGTCTTTTCTGGAAGTCTCTAAATTCAGAATCATTTTTTAATTTAAAGTTCTAAGATAATGGTTACTGCAGACATTTTATTTTAAAACGTTGATAGACTTATATTTCTTGGAAGAAAATGTAAACTATCCAACACTGGTTATCACTTGTGATAGGAAAGAGAATATTCAATCTGTGTTATTTCTCGTTAGAAATGTAAACCTTCAATATCTGTCGTAGTCAATGACACTACTTCAAATTATTACGAAAGGAAATTGCTCATGGATGCTGTGCATCATTTCAGATTTATAATTGTTTTCACCCTAAAATAGGGCATTAGTTGAACTTCGGAGTTCTGAACAAAGTCCTGCAGGCTTTAAATCGTGCCCACGAGTTCCGACGGTCTCGATCGCCGACAGCGCCGGGTGGGCGGGTGACGTGTGCTGCAGGTGGCCACGGCAGGTGTCCCTCCATTCTGTCATACTGCTGCATTCTGTTCCGACCTCCGGAAGCGACATCTTTGCGTAGAGGTGGCGGCATCCTGTACCTGTGCCTTACCGTTGCACGCTGCTTCCCGACCCAGGCTCTGTGTGCTCTGATTCTAGGGAGTGACCGTGCGGCCAGCCTCCACGACCACGAGCTCTGTCTCACCGGCCAGGCAGCTCTGCCCCTGCTGGGGGGAGCCAGCTCCACCTCGGCTTTGGGGGCCCCACTGCTCAGTTACCCCTGATTATCACAGACCCTAAATCTCTAGGCCCAAAGGTGAGCCACCTGGTCTGGGCACAGGCGTGGGCCCTCGAGCATTCCAGAGACCGCCGCTCTGGGGCCTGCCAGGCCGACCCCCGGCCTCCGGGACCACCGCCCTCGGGAGGGTGGCCTGGGGGCCCCTGGGCCCAGCCTGCGCCCGCCCCACCGGCCTTTTCTCAACTCACTGTTTACCTTCTCTCAATGGTCCAACTGTGATTAGAAGCCGCGCCCTGCCTCCCCTCCGCTATGCAGCACGCTCCACGGGTGCTAACCGACGGGTGCTACACGTGACGGGTGCTTCCCAGGCCCAGCCAGCGACCCACCGCCTGCGGCCGCTTCTCCGAACGCCCCCCCCCGCCCCCCCCACGACCGGCCGGCGCTCAGACTGCCTGCCCGGCTCCACGGCTGCGGGCGGCTGGGCTGGGGCCGGGCCGCGTGTCTCTGGTGCTGCGTCCGCTGGGTGTGCCTTCGCCGTGCCTGCTGGAAGCGCCCCCCCCACGTGCCGCGTCCGTAAGTGACCTCTTGGGCTCCGAGCACCTGCCAGGCCCCAGTTCCAATGCTCAGTCTCGTCTTCTCCCTCCTCCCAGGACGCCGTGAGGTGAGGCGTCCCCACTCCCAGAGGAAGGACCTCCTGCGGGGCCTCAGGCGGCTGCAGGCCAGGGGTTACCAGCGGGACCCCTGCCACTTCCACTTTACTAACAAATTGAGAATAAGCACCACCTTGGTCCGGCCAGAAAGAAAAACAAAGCCATCCTCTTCCCTCCTCCCGGGGGGAGAGCTGTGGGGTGGCTGCTGGGAAGCATCGCCCGGTGGGGGACCTGCCGGGGGGGGGGGGGGGGCGTGTGCCCGGGCCCCCACCTCCAAGGAGCCCAGAGGACGTGGCGGGAGCGTCGTTCTGTGGCACTGGGGGTGGGGGCCTGTGGCCACTGCTGTGTGCCATCTCCCCTGCGTATGCTGGGGGCTGCCGCCGGGCTCTGCTCCTCGCGGCCCTGCCCCTTCCTGGCGACAAGAGGGCGTCAGACACGCTGTGACGGGTGCGCTTTCCCCTCGACTAAGTGCAGGTTTCCCACGGACAGTCCCGTACCTCAGAGAAGCCCACGCTCTCGGCTTCCCTGCAGCCTCGTCCCGTCCCGCGCAGGCCGCCGTGTGGGGCCTGGGGCCCGGTGTCCCTGAGGGTCTGTCCGGCTGGAGCCCCCTTGCCTGGGCCTTTTTTATGAGCAGGTTTTCCCATTTCCAGAGGCCACAGTGACAGCAGAGCCTGGGTGGAAGTTCTCAGACCTGTCGGAGGAGAGGGTAGCGCCAACCCCGGGCGCAGCTCGGTGTGCGTTCACCACCGAGGACCCGAGGGGCATCGTGGGGGCATCATGACGGCTGCTGTCAGGGCCCCAGGGCCCAGCTCCGCGGCCCCCCATGTGGGAACAGCTGGGAGCACGGGGAGCTCTTGGCCCCGCGGCTCCTTCCTGCCCTGTGACCTCAGGGCTGTGGTGGGAAAGCTGCCTCCCCGCGTTCCCCCCGCCCCAGGCCCTTCCGCTGCCCCGAGCCCCTGTCACATCAGAGCGAACGCCCCAAGGCTTCCCTGAACCTGTGGCCCCCTTGGGACCACAGGGAACACCTGCCTGTCTCCAGGGTCCTCAGCTGCCCGGGGTCGGGGCCCATGTCCCATCAGCAGCAGCGCCCGCTCATTCTGGGCGGTGTCGGGTCCCCCATGGCCGGCCCAGCAACCTGTAGCCGAGGGGCATTGTCGGCAGAAGGGTCTGGACAGACCCTTAAACAGCTGAGTCCCCAGGTGGGTCATTCCATGGTCCGGTCAGAGGATGTGGGGAGATAGGCAGGACCCCCCCTCGCACCCCGGGGTCCAGGCCCACAGCCCCTCCAGCAACACACGGAGTGAGGCCCGCGCTGTTCTGTGCCCGTCACAGACGGTCCAGCCCCGGCACCTCTGCTGTCGCCCCAGGGCGGGCTGGACAGGAGCTCCAGCCTTGCCCCAAAGCGCCCCTCTGTGCTGAGCGGGCTGGGCAGAGCTGACCTTTATGGGGCTGCAGCGGTGAGCGGGTTCCAGGGGCCTGTCCACATGTGTGAGCGCTGGTGACGGGGGTCTGCCACCCAAAGCCACTTCTCAGCCACGACCACGGCTCTGTCTTCTGTCGGCCCATCTGGTAGTTGTGGTTTCTCCGAAGTGGAATGTGGCTGCCAGGCCCAGGCCGAGGAGGCCGGTGGAGGTGCCAGGGTGGGCAGGTGACCTGTCGCTCCTGTCTGTCCGGGCAGTGCTGGTTGTCACCTGGGAGCCCGGCCGGGGGGGGGGGGGGGGGGGGAGGCAGGGCCCAGAGGCATCCTGGGGGGCGCTGAGCTGTGCTTGCATTTCATTCTCCGCTGCCGCCGTGCCCATGTCTTATGAACTCGCACAGGGACAAGGCGGGCGTCCGGCTGCACGGCCCCTGCTGCCGCGGTCGGCGGTTTATAGCTCAGTCCCCGCAGACAAGCAAGATGACCTTCACAGCAAGCGCGACGCCCCCGTTGGTAAACACAGCAGCGCACGATTCCCAAGGTTCCCCTGCGAGCTCTCTGTGGGCGCATCTCTGACCAAGGGAGCGTGCAAGCCCACGCGCACGGGCGGGAGGCGCTTTTAGTCACGTCCTTTCTCCGGTGGCTCACTCTTCAGTTCTTGCCCCAAAGACCAAAGAAGGCCCGTCTCTTACTTGTTTAATCTGCCTGTTTTACAAACCGCCGTCCGGTGACGCGCTGAGGGCCGTCCTGACTGCACGTGAGTGTGGCGACCAGTGGTTCACGTCCGTGTGTTCCTGCTCTTCTAAGAAAACAACAACAAAGGACCGTGTGGGTTATTGCTCAGCAATAATCATATGAGTTCGTACCATGCCTGGTTTTCTCATAGCATTATCATGTTTTCTATTTTTGTTTACTGTATATTGTGTGTGGTTTTATTTGGTATTTATTTGTGTTTGGAGGTCTTGCAATGTCTTTGTGTTCCTGATGCTAATACTGAAGTTTGTACGAGTATAGAATGCAAACCTGAAATGCTAAACTGTCATTAGAGGCAAATAAACCTGACGAAGGACTCCGTTTCTCCATCGCCCTGTCTCACAGGTGTGGGGAGTGGCCGCGGGCGGGGGGGCGGGGGGGCGGGGGGGCCTCATGCCGAACGTGGGCCCACACTTGGCGCAGTGCTCTCCTGTCACCACCTTGAAGTTCTTAACTTTTGGAAAAGGGGTTCTGAGTTTTCATTCTGCCCCGACCCTGCAGGCTGAGTGGCCAGTCCTACCTGAGGCCACCTGGCTGTCCATGCAAGTGATGGCTCTGACCTTGAGTCCCAGGGCTGAGCCAGGCACCAGCAGCCACGCTCAGGCCTGTGCCTGACCCAGAGCAAGCAGGGGGCCCTCCCGCTCCTGGGGCCCAGCTGGGCCGCAGGTCTGGGTCCTGCCCCAGTGCCCACTCTCCGCTGTGGGAGTCCAGGCTTCTTGAGCCTCAGCCTCTTCTGCCAGATGGGAGGGCAGTACCTGCCTCCCCTTGAAACAAAGTGGTTATTAAAAGCATCCCAGCACTGGCCTCGGGGGGGGGGGGGCCTGCTGGGGGTGGCATCTGTCAGGCAGCCCCTCCGGGCGGGGGTGTTGGGCCTGCGCCCTGTGCCCGGCCCCAGCTTGGTGCCCACATAGCCGGTCTCGGATCTCGCGTTTCTCTAGGTGCCCGTGTGTGTGTGTGTGTGTGTGTGTGTGTGTGTGTGTGTGTGTGCGCGCGCGCGCACGTGCACAGGAGCCTGCGTCTGCCTTGAGCTTCCCCAAATTATTGAGTGTGGGGGCTGCTTTCAGGCCTGGTACTAAGGCCCCGGGAGTCGCCCGCCCCTCCCACCACCCTGCTCCTCCAGTGTCCCCACTGCAGCCCACTCACCGCCGGAGTGCCCTGCTCACCCCTTCTCCACGTCTCCATGTGGGGCCCGGCCTGGGAGGGGCCATCGGCCTCCACCCACAGCAGGAAAGGAGGGCTCAGGAACGAGCCCCCAGAGGCCACTCCCACCCAGACCTCAGGGCTCACCTCTGTCCAGAGGCCACACTGCTCCGGCTGTCCCTACCCTCCCCACCCACCCCCACCCCACCCAGAAGCTGCTCGGAGAAGGGGCACAGCCCACGCCCGTTATGCTCCATCCACCCTCCTGAGCAGGAACTGAAGCCTGGGGTCCCACCTCAGCCTTGACCACACCAGGGACAGACACCAAGCGACCCCTGGATGGCCCGAGCCCGCCTGGTACTGCTGCCCAGTGTCCGTGGGGTTTCCCACGCCCCTGGCGGAAGCTGGACCCTCTCCTTTCTCCTCCTGGTTTCCCTGAGTCCCACGGGACAATCAGCAATGCGGCCCAGGAAGAGGGGCCCTGAGCTGAGGGCGCCCTGGGGACTGGCCAAAGGCTGCAGCCGCTTCTGTCCCCAGAGAGAACAGCCGTGGGCGTGGGGCATCCGGAGTTCCTCCCGGCCCAGCGTCCTGCCCTCGCTGAGGGCTACCTGGCCGCTGACCGGCCCAGGCCTTGGCTTTGGTCCGTGGGGTTGGGACAGTGGCTCTCCAGGGGGCCCATGGTCCAGGCCTGGGAGTGCCGGACGGCCTGTGACCCTCACTGCCTCCCTCTGCTCAGAGCACAGGTGGCCGCTCCGTCAGGGACAGAGGTGGGGGGACAGGTGGCCGCTCCGTCAGGGACTGAGGTGGGGAGAAGAGCTGGGGAATTGACCTGGGGTTGGATCTGTCCCCATAGAACTGAGAACAGAGAAAGGAGAGGGGCAGGAAGGGGGTGATTCCATGGCCCCAGTGTTCTGACTGGGGACCATGGCTAAGAGCAGGTCTGCCCACCTCCACCCCCAGGCAACAGGGCTGTCACTCACAGTGCCCTGCTGCCAGGGGAGGGCTGTGACGGCCAATCAGAGGACAACAACCCTGAGCCATGAGGTGAACCACACTCAGACCTCACTGAGCGCCCCGCTCCACTCCCAGCCCCCCACAGCTTTCCCAGGCCGCCTTCCCTGTCTGTGGAGAAGGCTGAGCACACGAAACCAGCACGAGGATGGTCAAGCCCAGACAGCAAGACAGAGAGACCAAGAGACCAGGCAGCCCAAGCGCCTGGATCCCACCGTGCCTGACGCAGCTGCTCAGGGGGCCCGGTTACTGGGAGAAACTCTTTAGGGCGTTGCATTTCCCGCCCGCCACACGAGGGAGCTGTGCCCATGTGGACCTGGGGGCGGGGGCACAGCGTGCCGTGCGCCGTGGCCGGCGTGGTCCAGCCGTGTGTTGCCCACATCTTTGCTTCTGGCTCCTCTTTGGGCCACCCTTTGATACGGGACCTACCTGCAGCCTCTGCTCAATATATGGAGGCGCCACCAAGACCCCGCAGCCCTGTACCCACAGCTGTGACTTCCGCCTTCATGTGGTGGCGTTCGTGCTGCCTCTTCCAGGAAGCCTCCTTTGCCTGCCCAGGTGGCCTCGCTGCCCTCTCTAGACAGCACAGTCTCTCTGAGAATGGCCTGCCCAGGTGGGGCCAGAGTGGGCAGAGTTCCAGCCCCTGGAGCTGTCCGGGGGCCATGCCCTCCCCTCAGTCCCCCCGCCTTGCAGGTCCGACCTTCAGGTTAGCTGCAGTGCTCGGGCCCAGGGCGAAGTTCCCCGGGCCTCCGAGCTCTGCCCTGAGCATCCGAAGTGGGTGGTAGGAGGAGGAGGGGGACAGCAGTTTATTGGGGTACAGTCCCAATCAATAGCACCACCTCCTTCCTAGGGAGAAGCAAAACAAAGGGCAAAACAGAGGTGAACCCCAAACAGCCCCTTTGTTCCTGGTCGAGGCCAGAGGATGGAGCCTCCTGTGAGACCCACAAACTCCAGGACTGGGCCTCCCTGCCCCTCTGGTGCCCCATCCAGCAGGAAAAAGTGCGGGTGAGGGGGGGGGAGGTGCTGGTGCATTTGCTCCCTCCTTCCCAGAGGGGCCATGCCCCTCCCAGCTCAGAGGTGAGTGCCCAGGGCACTGGCTCCCTCCATCCCGTGTGTGAGCGAAGGGTGCTGAGGCCCAGGCTGCAGGCGAGGGTGTGGGTGCAGGAGAGCGAGGGACCTGCAGGGAAGACGGGCAGGAGTTCCCAAGGCTGAGCAGTCCCTCTCCCACTGTCCTCCGTCTATGCAGCCACCTCCACCCGCCCTTCCTCCCCTCCACCCGCTCTAAGCAGTAAGCACCATCTGTCTCCCACCATCCACGCATCAGCCACCCATCTCCCCCCTGACTCACAGCCCGTCCCCTAGTAATCCACGCACCATAAGCCCATTGTCCACCATCCGGGGCAGCGTGTGAAATCTGTGCACCCACCCACTCACCCCACCATCCCATCGCCCTCACCACAATCCATGCTGATGTGCAGCACGCAGAGCCACGCATCCACTTCTCCAGGTAAGCTTAGCCATCAGCCAACCCATCCTCCAACGTCCCGTCATCCATCCATCCATCCATCTATCCATCCATCCATCCATCCATTCATCCATCCATCCATCCATCCATCCACCCACCCACATATCCCACACTCACAGGCGCCCACCTGGCCATCCACCCATCTGCTGTATCCAATAACCATCTCCACTCTCATCCACCATCTCTCTACTAACCGTCATTCACAATTCATCTAAACCCCAGTCCCCATTAATCTATCCACCATCAATCCATCATCACCATTCGATCGCCTCTACCATCCAAAACCCGCGGCCTTTCTCACTCCACCCATCTCACCCAGCCACCATCCATATACACCGTCTCTGCACACCCATCTGCACACAGGCCACGCCTGCACTTTCTTTCTCTCTCACCCATCACCCGTCCACTTATCCAATCGCCATTCTTTTTTTTTTTTCTTTTAATATATTTTATTGATTTTTTACAGAGAGGAAGGGAGAGAGATAAAGAGTTACGATGAGCCGAAACCGGTTTGGCTCAGTGGATAGAGCGTCGGCCTGCGGACTGAAAGGTCCCAGGTTCGATTCCGGTCAAGGGCATGTACCTTGGTTGCCGGCATATCCCCAGTAGGAAATGTGCAGGAGGCAGCTGATCGATGTTTCTCTCTCATCGATGTTTCTAACTCTCTATCTCTCTCCCTTCCTCTCTGTAAAAAATCAATAAAATATATAAAAAATAAATAAATAAAAATAAAAATAAAATAATAAAATAAAATAAAAAAGAGTTACGATGAGAGAGAAACATCCATCAGCTGCCTCCTGCACATCTCCTACTGGGGATGTGCCCGCAACCCAGGTACATGCCCGGTCATCGAACCTGGGACCTTTCAGTTCGCAGGCCGACGCTCTGTCCACTGAGCCAAACTGGTTTTCGGCCCAATTGCCATTCTTATCCTACCTTTCATCTACCCCCTCCCCTCTCCACCCACCACCCAACCTCCATCACCCACCTCCCCTGCACCCAGCCCTCCATCCCCACCCAACATCCGCCCCATCACCAACCGCTCATTCCTTCCTTCACTGGCTGACTATTTCCCATCCATCCATCGCCCTCGTCCGCAACCAGCACAGCACCCTCCGCCACGCCCCGTGCTCGCCTTGCCCGCCATCAGCGGGGCCACAGCCCGCCCGCCGGAGGCAGGAGGGCCCGCCTGGCGGAGTGGACACCAGCCCCCCAGGGGGGCGGACTTCCGCCTTCCGCCTTCACACCCGGACAGCGAGGGGGAGCCCCAGGTCTTCTCCCCCAACACACCCACTTCATGGGCAGGGGGGCGGAACGTGGGGGAAGAGGCCGCGGGCCCTCGGAGGAACCGGACGCGGCCGGGGCGGCCTGTGGGTGAATGTGTAACCGCCCGGCGGCCCCGCCCGCCCGCCCGGTCACGTGGCCCCGCGGGCAAAGTCCTGGGCGCCGGGCGGAGCGGGCGGAGCGGCGCGAGGGGCGCGATGGGCGCGAGGGGCGCGCTGGGCCGGCTGCTGCTGGGGCTGCAGCTCTGCGGTAAGCGGGCGCGCTGGGGCCGCGCGGCTCCCGGCCTAGGGCCCGGGTCCCCGGGGGCGAGCGGCTCCGTCCCAGCAGCCGGCCCCGCAGGTGGCGGGGGGGCGAGGAGCCCGGCCAGACGCACCCGCCTGCCCTGGCGCCGCCCTCATCCCCGCGGAAAGCGGTGGCCGCGCACGGGAGTCCGCGGGGTTCCGCCGCTGCCTCGGTTTCTCCTCCCGAGGCGCCGCTGACCTCCCCTTCGGGGCCCGCCCACCGCCGGGAGCTGAGGGACTGCAGCTCCGCTGTCCCGTCTCAGTCCCGGCTCCCGCCCCGCCCTTCCTGCCGCCCCTTCTCCTCCGCCGGCCCTCGGTGTCCCGGTGCCCCCCGCCGGGTCCTCTGCTCCGGCTCCGGGCCAAACGGGGGGCGGGCGTCCTGGAGGAGGGCACGGTTGAGCGGGCTCTGCAGAGCCAATAGGAGCTCCTCAGGGCGGGGCGGGTTCCCGCGGGGACCCCTCGGTGCCTGGCTGTGGGCCCCGTGTCGCCGCCGCGCCTCACCGGGGAGGTCGTCCCCCCCGCATCCCCGGACGGGAAGTCTGGGGGAGGCCCCGCAGGCCAGCGGCGCGGGGAGCACTCAGCCTCCGCCTCCCCAGCGCTGACCAGGGCCGCCTACAAAATCTGGGTCCCCAACACCGACTTCGACAATGCGGACAACTGGAGCCAGAACCGGACCCCCTGCGCAGGCGCCGCCGTGGAGTTCCCGGCGGACAAGGTGCCTGGGCCCAACCGGGAGGAGGCTCGAACCTTCGGTCCCGCGTGGTCCGGGGGGTGTCGGCCCAGTGGGCCCGCCGCTGAGGCCGCTTCTCCTTCTACCCGCAGATGGTGTCAGTCCTGGTGCGAGGAGGTCACAGCGTCTCGAACATGGTGAGGGGGGCGGGGCTGAGACGGGGGGGCGGGGCGGGGATTTGGGGGCGGGGCTAGGACATGGGGCGGGGCTGGGATGTGGGGCGGAGCTAGGACTTGGGGCGGGGCTGGGATGTGGGGCGGAGCTAGGACATGGGGGCGGGGCTGGGATGTGGGGGTGGAGGTAGGACATGGGGGCGGGGCTGGGATGTAGGGGCGGAGCTAGGGCATGGGGGCTGGGATGTGGGGGCGGGGCTAGGACATGGGGGCGGGGCTGAGACAGGGATCCTTGCAGCCTCCTCGGCCTTGGGGGGTGGGAACAGTCAGGGGCTAAGGGACAGGGGCGATGGCCCAGGAGTCCCCGTGGGAGGTGGAGGGACCTCCCACCCTGGCTGGACGGCCCTCCACAGCGCTCAGCCCCCCCCCCCCCCCCCACACACACCGGGTTTAATGTGTGTTCCTCAGGTTGGAAGCCTCTCCCTGTGACTTTTTTCCTCTTGGGCCCCTTGCCCGTCCCGTTTCTACCCTTTGCCCAGTCTGCTGTCGGGTTTGGTACAAAAACTATCCAGTTGTAGAAATTCTGTCCCACTGCTAGTTTGCTAGCAGTTTGAAAAATTAAAGCTGATTTGAGAGCGAGAAACGGATTTGCTGTCCCGCCTTCATTGGTTGCTGCTTGTGTGTGCCCTGACCGGGATCAAGCCACAGCTTGGCCTGTGCGGTGACGCTCTCACCAATGCGCTGCGGCCAGAGCGAGTTTGCTAGCAGTGTGTAGCAATCACAAGCAGGTTGTTGGCTTTTTCGGATTTTTCCTGCGTCGATGAGATGTGACTTCTCTCCCCTCCGTTATTTGGCCTGTTGGTGAGGTCTTCTGAGGCGGAGCCACCCTTGCAAGACTGTCCTCCCGCTGGGCGCAGGTGCCACTTCTTCAAACGCGCCCTCTTGCCTTCCCTCAGCCAGACTGACTTGCCCAGCACAAGGCTCTCACTGCCACCTGCTGGGGCACCAGCATACACACCTACCAGCGCGAGGTCCCAGGCTGCCTTCCCGCATTCCTGGGGCATGAACCCTTTGAACACCATGTATTTGTATTTTTTAATGTTTTTAATGATTTTTAGAGAGAGAGGAAGGGTAAGGGAGAGAGAGAAACATCAAAGAGAGATCAACATCCACATCCATTAGCTGTCTCCTGCACACCCAGTGACGCCGTGACCCTACTGAGGGTCTAGCCCGCAACCTGGGCACGTGCCCTGACTGGGGAATCGAACCGGTGATGGAACCGGTGACTTCTTGGTGCATGAGTTGATGCTCAACCACTGAGCAACACGGGCTGGGCTGAACACCATGTATTTTCAAAACACATTGTTGCTGTTAGTGAACTAGTACTTTATTTAGGACGTTTGCATGCCCGTGTTGAGTAAATGGGCCTGTACTTTTTCTTATCTTGGAATGTCCTTCATCTGGTTTGGGAATTGAGATCATCCCGGCCTCATAAAATGGACTGGGCAGTTTCCAGTCCTCCTTCCTGTTTCCCATAACCATTTCTGTAAGAAGAAATCATTGCGAGTTTGGTATACTTTGCCTGTAAAAACATGTGGACTGGGTATTTTGAAAATCGGAGGTCTTTGGCCAACATTTTAATATCTTTCATCCTTGCTAGCCTGTTCAAATTCTCTGTTGGTTGTAGTGTCAATTTTGATGTTTTAAACTTTTCTAGAAATGGATAGACTTCATGTTAAGTTTGTGGTCCTTTGATTTCTCAAGCTTTTCACTATCCGTTTCTTCCCTTGCCACGTGAGCTCTGCAGTGCACGCCACTCCTTCGGCCTCCCCCTTCCCCATCACATTTCAGTCCCAGCTTTTAAAAAACTTTAAAAGATAATAATACGCATTACCAATGTATCTCACCCCCACTTCCCATCTCTTCAGCCCTGGGCCCCTCCCACTCTCCTTCCCCAGCCTGTCGTCAGGACAGGTCCCCATGTTGCAACCTTCTCATGTCTTTTAGGCCTGAGGGCACTTTTTATGCTCTAGCATTTGAATGGGAGTTTGTCTGGATATAAAATTCTAGATGAAAAGTTCTTTTCCTATCTATCTATCTATCTATCTATCTATCTATCTATCTATCTATCTATCATCTATCTATCTATCATCTATCTATCTATCATCTATCTATCTATCTAAAGAAGTAATATGCAAATGAGGTCGGGACTCTGTAATGGTCAGGACCAGCTCAGGAGGAGGAGCTGGGTGCGGCCCAGAGCCTGAGAGATCAACACAAGGGGGCGCCTGCTCCAAGCCTCTGCGGCGTGGCTGGGGGCAGGTCCCCAGCGAACACACACACACACACACACACACACACACACACACACACACTGCGCCTGCTCTGAGCCTCCATGGCCAGACTGCAGCTTAGGGCCGCTCCCCATGGGGAGTGGGCCTAAGCCGTCAGTAGGACATCCCCTGAGGGCTCCTGGACTGTGAGAGGAGGCAGGCTGGGCTGAGGGACCCCCCCACCAGTGCATGAATTTCATGCACTGGGCCTCTAGTCTATAATAATAAAAGCATAATATGCTAATTAGACCAATGACCTTCTGGACGAAGCCGGGGCTGCAAGGGAAGCCTGGGTCCCGATGCCAGAGAGAAGCCGGTGCTGGCAGCTGGGGGAAGGGAGGCCTACGCTTGCACGAATTTCGTGCATCCGGCCTCTAGTATATATGAAATATTATTCGATTGGCTTTTTGAATCCATTGTTGTTGCTGAGAAACTGATTTCTGAATTTTTTTCTTTCCCTGTGACCTGGTCTTTCTCTCTGAAGTTTCTAGGATGTCCTGTGTCTTTGGGCCCAGCCTGCTGCCCCGTGTCTGGGTGTGACTTTCCTTAGGTCCCGTAGGCTGTCCATGAGGCCTTCCCATCTGGTTTCTTTCTTCAAATCTGGAAAAGTCACCTTTGCTGTTTCTTCAAACATTCTCTCTCCTCCCCCACCCCTTGGATCTGAATTTGACACTTCAATCTGGACCCTCCCATCTCTCCTGGAAGTTGAAGGGGAGTCCGTGGGAAGAGCCTGGAGGCCCAGCGTTATCCCTGAGTGGGAGCTTGTCCTGATTGGGGGAGCGGGTTCTCTCTCAGGCCTTCACTGCTGCCTTCTGGAAAGTTCCTTGGCATCAGGCTCAGGTTGCCTGGTGTTTGTTCTCCAGCTGCATGGAGACTCATGTTTCTCTCACCTGTTGTGCTCTTCCTTTCAAGTATCATGTTTTCCACAGTTTATACTTTCCCTTTGGTTCTTTACAAAAGTGAGTGGCCCCTGCCCTGGAGGCCGGAGGCTGCCATGCCGGCCTGCTCCAGGCTCCCCCTGGGCTGTGGGCGGGGTTGGCTTGCTGCACCCTCAGGTGTGGAGGTAGTTGGCCTGGGACCTCACATTCGCGCCCCTCGGGGTGTCAGCTTCCCAGTGGGTGCCTGGGAACAGCTGAAGAGCAGGCCTGCCCAGCAAGTGGGGGCCGGAGGCTGGGCCCTGGGCCGCAGCCCAACCCCCAGGAAGGTCAACAGGAGGAGGGGCAGGATCCTGGGGCTCGGAAGGGAGAGGGAGGGGCCAGTCGGTCCTTTGGCTCCTGGCCTTCCCGCTGCTGTATTTCCTCTGACACCTGAGGCCTGGGTTGTAGGTGAATGTTCCGGTGAATGGGCTGCCACAGTGGAGCCAGAGGGGACTCCAAGGCCGCCCCTGGCACCCCTTCCCTCCCTCACAGCGTCCAGGGGGGCCTTTAGACTTCCCAGCGCGTGGGTGCTTGGAACCCACGAGCCCTTGGCTTGTGCAGTTCCTCAGGGGTGACGGGTGAGGCAGTGGCCCTGGCTAATGTCACCCCAAACTCTCCGTGCTCCCAGGTCTCAGGGTAGCTGGGCTCCTGGGCCCGCGGCCCTGCTCCCTCGGGGTCTGCGACTCGGCCAGGGCGGGGAGCCCCCAGGCCTGCCTCGCCGGCCCGCTCCTCGGCCTTGGACACGGCGCGGGGTGGGCGCCCACAAGGGTCCTCTGGAGCCTGGGCCGCCACGTGCCCTTCCTCAGCGGCGCTTCTTGCAGCTCCTGCCCCTGGACGGGGAGTTCGTCCTGGCCGCGGGGGCAGGATTCAGTGCCGCGGACACCAGCGTAAACCCGGACTGCGACCCCGGTGAGGCCCCGGCTGCAGCGGCATCTGGGGGAGGGGCCAGGCAGAGGGCGTTGTCCCGAGGGGTCGTCCCAATTGGGGGCGTGGCCTGATTGGGGCGTGTCTGGGGGCGGGGCCTGATCAGAGGGCGTTGTCAGATGGGTCGTCCCGGTGGGGGCGTGGCCTGACTGGGGCGGGGTCTGCGCGGAGGGCGCGTCCCCCGCGGACCTTTGGGACACGTGTCCCCTGGTGCAGGCGCCCCCGCGCGCTTCCTCGACCCCGACCGCTTCTCGTGGCACGACCCGCGCCTGTGGCGCTCGGGGGACGCGGCGCGCGGCCTCTTCTCACTGGACGTCGAGCGCGTGCCCTGCCGCCACGATGACGTGGTCTTCCCGCCGGACTCCTCCTTCCGGGTGGGCCTCGGCCCGGGCGCCCGCGCCCTGCGTGTGGGCAGCGTCTGGGCTCTGGGCCAGGTGAGGGGCCGTGCGGGGCGGGACTCGGGCTCCTCCCCCGGCGCCCCCACCCCCGCGGTCTGGACACGCGTCCCGAGTGCTCAGCCGCTGTCGCTTCCTCGGCCTGTGACTCCGCTGTGACCTGGCCCCGCAGAAGTTCACAAGCGACGAGGACCTGGCTGGCTTTCTGGCGTCCCGCGCCGGCCGCCTGCGCTTTCACGGGCCGGGCGCGCTGAGCGTGCGCCCCGAGACCTGCGCCGCCCCGTCGGGCTGCGTCTGCGGCAACGCCGAGGTGAGGGCGCCCACGGCGGCGAGGGCTCCGCGCGGGGGGAGGCTGGCGCTGGGACAGGGCTGCCCCGCGCCTCGCCCTGCGCGCTGAGCCGGCTTCCCGCCTGCAGGTGCAGCCCTGGGTCTGCGCGGCCCTGCTCCGGCCCTCGGGCGGCCACTGTCCGCCGGCCGCCTGCCGCGACGCGCTCCGGCCCGAGGGGCAATGCTGCGCCCTCTGCGGTGAGCGCCCCTGCTCGGCCCCTGCGCGCCTGGCGGCTGGGCCACCCCGTGGGTCCCGGGCGCCGCGCCGACCCCTGCTCCCCTGTTGCAGGAGCCATCGTGTCGCTGACCCACGGCCCTGCCTTTGACCTGGCGCGGTACCGGGCGCGGCTGCTGAGCGACTTCCTGACCTTGGTAATGGCGCCCCTGCCCCGCCTGGCACCTCCCCTGTCGGGGACCCTGGAGCCTGCTCCACCTCCTCATGGGCGCGCCCACGCTTCGCCCACCCGGGCGCCATTTGCCCCCCCTCCCCCGCGTCCCCGCAGGTCCCAGGGGCGCAGTTCCCGGGCCAACCCTGTGCCCTCCCCAGCCCCAGTACCAGGCGCTGCAGGTGGCCGTGTCCAAGGTGCCGCGCCCACCCCAGCCCCGCGAGGCCCCGGGCGAGGCCGACACGGAGATCCAGGTGGTGCTGGCGGAGCCCGGGCCCGAGACGGGCGGCGCGGGGCGGCTGGCCCGGGCCCTCCTGGCGGACGTCGCGGAGCACGGTAAGCGCGGCCCGGCCCAGCTCCATCCCCGCGCCCGCCCGCCCGGGAGAGACTGAGCCCGGCTCTCCGTGGCAGGGGAGGCCCTCGGGATCTTGTCAGCGACCTTCCGGGAGTCGGGCGCGCCCGTCGGGGACGGTTTGCACCGACCGGGGTCGCGCGTGGGGCTCGCGAGCGGCTTGGCAGCTGCGCTGTTCCTGTTGCTATTGGTGCTGCCGGCAGGGGCGCTGTTGCTGCACCGCGCAGGGAAGCTCAGGTACGCGGGGCGCGGCGGGGCTCGAGTACGCGGGCTTGGGTACGCTGGGCGGAGGGCTCGGGTACGCGGGGCGGGGCGGAGGGCTCGGGTGCGCGCGGGGCGGGGGGGGGGGGGGGAGGGTAGCCGGGAGGGGGAGGGGGTTCAGGTACGCGGGGCTCAAGGGGTTCCCACCTGTAGGTGGAGGAGGCGCGAGGAGACGCCCTTGGGCTTCCACAACCCGGTGTTCGACGTGGCAGGCTCCGTGCAGCAGGTGCGTGGCCGGGGGCTGGGGGTGGGCCTCCCCGTGGCCGGCTCCACGCCCGACGCCCTGACTGCGCCCCCGCAGCCCCCGGCACCTGCACCCACGGCCGCCGAGAGCACCAGCCAGAGCTACTTCGTCAACCCGCTGTTCAGTGCGACCGAGACGGACGCCTGAGGGGCCGGGCGGCCTGACCTGCCCTCGCCCCGCCTCGCCCATGGCCCATGCGGGTCACAGCCTCGGGGTGCTCGCCTCTTGCCAGCCCCCTGGGGCGCCGCCAATAAAGGGGTTCCCTGCACCCACTTCTGTGGATACACCGCTGCGTCCCCGGGCTGCTGGGAGCTGGGAGGGCCGCGGGCGCCCTCTGTGGTGCCGCCAGGACGCAAGGAGGGTCCTCAGCGCTGGCCACGGGCCGCCTGGCCACCGCCAAGGGCAGTGAACGGCCTGCAGGCCCGAGGCTGCCTGTCGGCTGATGGCGCCCAGGAGGAGGCAGGTTTGCCCTGATGCCAAGGACCCGGGAGGGGCAGGGGTGGGCACCCGAGACCCCCGTGTCCCTTTCAGTGGCTGTGCAGGGACAGGGGGCAGGGGCAGCTGTGGGGGGGAGCTGTGTCTGTCGCAGCCAGGCCTTGCCCTCCCCATTCTGAGGGTGGTTCTGGGGACATCCCCCCAAACACACACACACACACACACACACACACACCCCGGTCGCAGAAAAAAACCACTCGGCTGCCTGTGTGTGAACTTGCACCACAAGTGGTCTAGCACCTGGATCCACACACACCACCCTGACCTCCTGTGGCGACATCACACCAGGGGCCAGGATCTACACCCTAACTCTCATCCTAACCCAGGTCCAGCCCTAACCCTAATTCTAACCCTAACCCTAACCTAGGTCCAATCCTAACCCTAATTCTAACCCTAACCCTAACCTAGGTCCAATCCTAACCTTATCCCTAACCCTAACCCTAACCAGGGTACAACCCTAAAGCTACCCCTAACCAAGGGCCAACCCTAACCCTAGCCCTAATCCTAACCCAGGCCAAATCCTAACTCTATTCCTAACCCTAATCCTAACCCTAACCCAGGTCAAATCCTAACCCTATTCCTAACCATAGCCCTAATCCTAATCCTAACCCAGGTCAAATCCTAGCCCTATTCCTAACCCTAACCCAGGTCCAACTCTAACCGTACCCCTAACCCTAACCCAGGTCCAATCCTAACCATATCCCTAACCCAAACCCAGATCTAACCCTAATGTAAACCCTAACACAGGTCCAACCCTAACCATAACCCTAATCCTAATGCAAACCCTAAAACAGATCCAACCATAACCCTAATCCTAACGCGGATCCAACCCTAACACCCCTAACTCTAGCCCTCCTGGCAGGGCTCCCTTCCCCAGCTGCTTGCTTCGGGCTGGGGGGACTGCAGTCTGCTCCCTGGGAGGGCAGGGCCATGGGACTGGCCCAGACAGTGGGAGCTGACAGGGTATGAACCCCCTGGGGCAGAACTCTGCAGCCAGAGCTCCTACAATTTCTGCAATTCCTTCCCCACTGTGGCCACGGAGCCCCCCCCCAGTGGGAGCCCCCCAGTGCGTAGGGCCTCGGTGCTAAGTGACACACCTGGAGGCGTTGGTCTCCCTGGGGGACAAGATGGGAGCTCTAGCCATCTCTAGGCTGGGCGCTGGCTGGCTTGGCGCTGCCTCTGGCAGATCCTGTCACTGCCCCGTCACCGAACTCCCGGGGGCTCTGCAGGGCACACCCCCCAACCCACCAGGCGCGCCCTGCCCTGAGGGAAACAGACCCTCTTGGGCCAGAGTCGGTGTGGTCACCACCCCAGCCTGTCCGCCAGCATCGAGGGGCCAGCGCCTGCGGGTGGACAGGATTCTCTGCTGTTCTGGGCCGGGAGCCACCTGCCTGGCACCGCTTCCCCCAAGAGCTCCCCGACACCGCCTGGCAGGCGAGGTCCCTTCCGGCCAGTCCTGCCCCACGGCACGGGAATGGCAGAGGGCGCTTTCCCAGCACCGGCACTGCCGGGGGCGCCGGGACACTCAGACAAACGGTGGGAACTTTACAACTGCTGTCTTCTGCTTTATTGACAGGTAAATTGTTCAAAATGTTCTCACGGTGATTCAATAATTACAAAGACTCTGACTTACATTAAAAAAGTAAAAACCAGAACCCCCAGCAGGTGCCAGCCCCAGCAGAGGCCCAGGGGTGGGTGGCGGGCAGCTGCTGGGTTGGTGCCCACGGGCCCGCTGGAGCCGCGCACTGTGCCGCCTCAGGAAGTGCTCGCCGTCAACAGCATCCCAGGAGCTGCCGGGCAGCGGGGAGCAGCGTCCTGGCTGAGATGCGCTGTGCACTGGCCAGGGACTCGACCTCTCCCGGGACGGCCACAGACCTGGCTACGCACGCGACACGGGGAGGTGAGCGTGAAAAAAGGCCGGGGAGGACGATGTGCAGAGGGCGTCTAAGGGCCCCACAGGTGCTAACCCGGCTCCATGGGGAGTCCGGGCGGGTGGGCGGGGCCTGGCTGCACCAGGACACCTGCTCCATGGAGGTGGGAGCTGGGAAGAGAGTGGGAAACAGCACAGCCGACTTCACAGTAGTAGGTACTGGTGACTTGTGGTTGTGACCGGGAAGGGACTCACACACAGGGGACCAGGCTGGGCGGCGTCCCTCACAGGCCTGTATCCATGGTCCAAGGTCAGCAGCAAGACTTCTGCAGCAGACGATGCAACGGCTAGTGAACGGAAGGCCTGGCCAGCCTCCGTGCTCCTGTCCTCAGGACTAGACGCTGGATGACATGGCTTCCTACCTTCTCCAGCTCTAGGACGGCGCTGGGGAGGAGCAGGCGGTCCGGCTGAGCTGCCTGCCTCCTAAGCAGAGTGCCAGGGCTGCGGGGTCTGAGCGGCAGCCTTGCGGGCCCGGCACCTTCCCACCCGTCTGGTGGGGACGAAGGGTCAGGTGCACGGCCCTGAGCAGCGTGGCATGAACGGTCACGTTACAATAGAGTTTTCTGCGTCTCATCTACAAGTCATTCTGCATCTCCGTGGACAACACTAGGGGGTCAGCTCAGTCTTGGCACTGGCATCAGAGCCATGTGGCTCCTGGGCCCGTGGTGACGAGGTGGTGGCCGGTGGCTTCAGGCGTCGTAGGCCGGCGGCTCCAGGCCTTCAAGGGGGAGCTGGCTCCTGTGGGGGGAGGTGGGGCTTGGGGGGCCGCTGGGGTTGGAGCTGTTGGAAGGAGTTGAGTGTTTGGTGGAATCGGAATCCGGCTGTTAACACAAAGGGACAACGTGAGAAGCATCGCCCAGGGCCTGCGCAGTGGGAGCCCAGCCCGACGGGGTGTCTGTGGGGGCACCTGCTCTCTCCTTTCCTGTGATGAGCACACGCTGATGAGATCAGGAACCAAGCCGGGCCCCACAATGACAGTAATTAAGGCGGCAAAGGGGGCGCCCCGCACAGTGAGACACGGACGCCGTGGTCGCCAGTCCCAGACACGACACTCTCTCGTGATGCATGCTCCAGGAAGAGAGGAGAGGCCTTTCCCCACAGGGTGAAGGGCGACCATGAGCCCCACAGCCAGCCCCGCACCGGAGGTGAACAGGCTGCCCGCTTCCCCGGCCGCTGCAACGCACGCAGGCGCCAGCCAGTGCACCGAGGCGAGAGAAAAGGCACCAAGTGGGAAAGGAAGAGGCCACGCTGCCTGCTCCCAGGTGGCACGAGTCTGCGCACAGAAAACACGACCGCACACCAAGAGCTCCCGTGTTCCTACACCAACGCGACAGCCTGAAACGGGAATTCAGGAAACAATCCATTTACAACAGCGTCCGACAGAACAAACAGCTCGGAGTCACTTCACCAAGGAGGCCAGAGGGCTGGTCCCGGAAACCAGGAAATGCGGCTGCGAGACAGAGGTCGGTGATGAGAGGGCCTCCCGTGGCCGCGGCCGGAGACCACATGTTGTTGACACAGCAACTCCCTCGAGTGACCTACAGATTCAGCTCAATCCGACTGCAATTCCACTGTCCCGCCCACCCCCCCGAAATGGAAAAGCCAATCCTCAAGTTCCTATGCGACTGTGAGGGCCCAGAATAGTCAAAACCATATTGAGTGAGAAAAGCTGGAGAACTCCCACTCCCCAAACTTATTATTTCAAAAGCAACTCATCAAAACGGGGGGTGCTGACATCAAGACAGGAGGAGCCCCGAGAGCCCAAGAGACACACACCTGCAGCCAGTGTCAGTGCCGAAGGCACCCCCACCACTCAGCCGGGAGGAACAGCCGCTTCTCCGCACAGTGCGGGGCCCCCACAGGAAGGAGCTGACCGCTGCCTCACGCGCCTGCAAGCGAACGTCAGGGGACCCACAAAACCGTAGGAGGAAACAGTAAGTGCTCATGACTGCGGACGTGGCAACGGGTCTAAGTCTGACATCGAAAGCATAAGCACAAAGACTGGACTCCATGAGAACTGGAAACGGTGCATGAACGAGAGGACGTGACCAGGAGGGTGAGGACCACCCCCAGGACGGGAGGAAACATCCGCAAGCCACACAGCGACGGGGCCTGGTATCCAGAGAGGAAGAACTCTCGCAAACCAACAAAAAGACAAACAGCCCACGAGAGACGCAGGAAGGACTTGAAGACGTTGCTCCAGAAGCATACAAGCGGCCCAGCAACCAGTCACCACTCGGGAAGCGCACACCCAGGCTCGGGGACTCCGCGTTACACCTGCTGGGACGGCCCCTGAGAAAAGGGGGGCCACGCGCCTTGGTAAGAAGCAGAGAACTTCCCCACGTGCCCTGCGGGGGGTGCGGGTAACAGGGGCGGCTGCTATGGCAAACCGTCATCATGTGACCCGGCCATTCCACTCCCAGGGCCACACCCCAAAGTGAAGACAGCACTCAAACAAGTCGTGCACACACGTTCACAGCAGCCGAGAGGGGAAGCATCCCACAGCAGCCATCCGTGGCCAAGGACTCCTAAATGTGTGCTCATCCTGGGGGATGTTCGCACTAAAAAGGAGCAGGCCGCAGATGCTCAGGCCGCAGCATGAAGACCGGACACGGTGATGCTAAGGGAAGCAGGCATGGCTGCCCCACCGTGTGATCCCGACACGAAATGCCCAGAACAGGCCCCAGCGACAGGCGGTGGCCATGGGCCGGGCAGGGCGGGCGGTGGGAGAGGCTGCCTTGTCGGGTGACGGAAATGCTCTGACTAGTCACAGCACTGTGAACCTACTGAACAGCCACTCCCCAAGCCATTCCTTTCTGCGAATTTCACTTCAATTTAAAAGC